GAGAGGGTGCTGCCCCAGAAGAGCACCATCGACAGGGGGTGTGAAAAGTGGAAATAGCGATTGGAGTAGCCCCGCGAATGGTCGGCCGCCAGGCCTTCTTCCAAGCGAGCTTGCAAAAACTCAATACCGGATTAAATCCGCCCAGAAAGGGATCTGCAATGCCCTATCTGAACACCAGCGGCGCATGGCGGGACCACCTATCCTCATACTGAGCGTTTGTCGAATCCCGCACCGAAGCCAGAATTGTGTCTGCAACTGCTGCAGAATTCGGCGTGCCTCGAGGTTAGACCTGACAGAGGCCAAGCCACCCACTGAATCCGTGGATTTGGGTGGAAGCTCCGTTCTGAGTGAGAATGTCCGGTCGCCAAAGGTAATAGAACAGGAGGCTGAGCCAGAAACCTGAGAATTACGGAAACCAGCTCTGTGGACGGCCAAAGCGGTGCCAGTAGCACAAGTAGCCGAGCTGGCTGGGTGGACAGCTGTGAAAGGACACGGGGAATGAGTGGTAGCGGCGGAGCGCCCCAGAGCACTTTGCCCGTCCAATCCAACAGGAAGGCGTCGGCAGCCAACGCCCTCTGGTCGGTATCCGAGAGCAGAACACGGGTGTCTGATCGTCCGCCCGGGCATAAACAGATCCACCTCGAGCGACCCGTACAACTGGGAGATTACTGTGAATATCTGCCTGTCGAGCATCCACTTCGATGCGGGGCCAGGATCCGGCGAGAAGCGCATCTGCTCGCGCCGTTCTCCAGCCCGGAGATAAACAGGAGTACCTGACAATCGTACTGGTGGCTCCAGAGGAGAAAGTCCCACGCTTCCCGGAGGGGCGCTGGAGAACACCGTGCCTCCCTGCTTCAGGATGTACGACATGGCCGTCTGGTTGTCTAACTGAAGAGCGGACTACCTGGCCACCGGACATGCTCTCTGGCTTCGAATACCAACCGCACAGCTCTCAGCTCCTCCAACACGTTGATGTGAAGGTGAGCTTCGCCGGACCAGAGTCCGAAGCCGACAGACTGCTACCAGAACGCCCCCAGCCCGTGAGGGACGCATCTGTCTGAACTGTGAGAGCTGGCGTCGGGGATTTCCAAGGGGAACCCCTGGTGAGATTCCGACATTTGTCCACCACTGAAGGTGAGGTGTCAACCACTTTCGGGGACTGTGAGACTGCGCTCCAGATCCTCCGTGTGAGTCCACAGCCGAGCCAAAGCTTGCTGTATGGGGACGCATCCTCAACCGCGCCCGCCACACTACAGAGATGAAATTAAGCCGCCATATGGCCCAGTAGGCGGAGCCAAGTCCGTGCTGGTGCCTGGGGCTGGGAGAGGAATGAAGATACCATCTCGAACTCTGGTGACCCGGTCGGGCGACAAGGAAAGCGAGATCCTTGTTCGTTTGGAATCGCGCTCCAAGAAAAACCAAGTCCTGGGTGGGTACCAGGTCGGATTTCTTGAGGTTGATGATCCACCCCAGTCGAGTTAGAATGTCTATCACTGTGTGAGTAGCATCTTGACTTCGCTGGCTGTGTTAGTGCTCCGAGCAACCAGTCGTCTAGGTAAAGGGTAACAGCGCCTTCCTTGCGGCGAGCTAGGAGTAGCTGGGACTAACATGAGCTTGGTGAACACCCTTGGGGCAGTCGATATGCGAAGGGGAGCACTGAATTGGTAATACATCCCGTCGTAGAGAGACCGGAGGTACTGCTTGAGCGAGGGATGTATAGGGTACATGCTGAATCGCATCCTTTAGGTCGATTGGCGTGAGCCAATCGCCGGGCTGAACAGATGAGATCACCGGCGCAGTGTCTCCATCTTGAAGGATGGTACCGAGCATGTGATTCAACCCCTTGAGGTTGAGAATCGGACGAACCCGCCGTCTTTCTTCGGACGAGGAAATGCGTGGAGTAAAATCCCGCCTGTTCCTCTCCCGGTGGAATGCGCTTCGATTAGCGGACTTGTCCAGCAGAGCCTGAACCGTCGGCGCAATATGTCCGCCCTGGCCTGGCATGGCGGCACCGAGTGCGTCGTATGCCCGGTGAAGTCGTGGCGGACCTCGCTTCCACAGTGGGAGATGGCCTATGCTGACCGTGGCCAGCACCCAAAGCGTTGTTGGTAGCCTTCTCCCATTCCGGCAGGGAGAGAGAGGCGACCTCCCACTGGGATATGGGGTAGGAAGCGGCGTGCGTGGACCCTAGTAGCGGAGCTGACTGGGTGTGACACCACGGCTTGAGCGGCAGCCTGTTGGGTTAACGGGAGGTCGGGGCAGACCTCCAGCGCCAGCGAAAAGGCTGGGAGCTAGTCGAGGACTGCTCCTGCCCCTACCCTTGGCGGACCTACTCTCCTCCGCCTACCCCTACCAAGCGCCGAAGCCAGCCGGCAGACTTCGGGTGTAGGCTGCACCCGGGCGGAGGAAGGTGGCGCGGGGGCTGGGCGAGACACCGCTGGTGCTCCAACAAGGCCTTAGAATCCTTGAAGGAGGTAGCTGCAGCGGCAGCCTCCCGTATGACCTGCTGTGCCCCGGGAAAGAGGGTCGGCCCCAGGCGGAAGGGAGAGCCAGCAAGGTCTGCTGTGTTGCTGCCGAGTACCTAGGCGTCGACAGCCACAGCCTGCGCATCCCCATGACTGCGCGACATCACCGTCGGCGCAGCAGACCGCAAAGAGTCGCCTGGAGGTGAGCCTGAACTTCCGACAGCTGGACGGAGTAGCCGCGACATGCGGCGACATTGCGTCGCCAGCATGCCCTCCGCCTCCAGGGCCGACCTCTGTATCGAGGAGAGGTAGGCCTCATGGACCACCACCGCACCTGCTGCATCGCGTTCGGTAGACCTCCTCGTAGGTCCGATGCAGCGTGCAGGGGAAGCCAGCGAGGGCAAAGGTGGAGTGAAGCCCTTGCCGAGCAGCGAGCTGCTCCGGAGGAAGCCGAGCCTCCCCAGGGCGGAAGTGAAAACACACTTTCGTCCAGCGATCGGTACGACGAACAGGGAATCCTCCCCAAGCTGGTAGCGCCGCCGCGAGTTCAGGTAAGTCAAACCTGACTCGGGTACCAGACAAGAGGGGATCGACCCGCGTCCGCGACCAACGATGGCAGAATGCGGGCTGCGTCTGTGAGGGTTGCCTAGGGGCAAGCGCCGCCAGGCAAGCGGAACTCAGTCGAGTCCACGCATACCAGCAGGCACCGCGGCCTGGGGTAGGCCCTCGGCAATTCTCTGCGGACCTCCCGCAAAGGCGAAGCAAAAGCGGAAGCGCCGTCATGCTCCTCGACCTCCCGAAGCTCCATTGCCTCGGCGTCCGTCGAGCCCGGAGTCAGAGGCTGGGTCTCCTCCGTAAGAGGACCCTAACCCGACCCGGTGGACTGCCTGGCGCTGGGCACCACAGGAAGGGAGGAACAGACCGACTGCTCCCGCCAGCGCCAGCCGGCGTGCGTGGACCCGGTCCCGAGGCGCTGGAGGCAGGCCAGGCAGAACTGGTGCCTCCGGCTCTCATGAAGGCGGTGTGCGCAGGGACGGAATACCAGGAATACTCAGCGGCCCAAGCGCCAAGCTCGAGAGGGGACTGGGAGCACCTCCCTCTCCCGAGCAGCCGGCGTCCGGATCGAAGCCAGAGGCAGCGGATCGACAGGCGCCTCAAGGCTGAGGGATCGAGCGGCCGGCGATCCCACCCGGACTCTCTGCCCCCGTCCGGGTGGGTGAGGAACTCCTGGCGGAGACCTCCAACCGACTCCCGAGCGAAGGACTTCATTGAGTCCATCTGCTTCTGAAACATCGACTCCATTATAGACATGTCAAAACCACTCGAAGTGGTAGGAGAGGAAGAGACCCGCGGGATTTTTCCTTTTGGGCCGCCCGTTTAGATTTTGGACGGGGAACCTGCGTCAGGTCCCCTCCGCCGCCGCGCATCTCGGCGGTAAAACAGGGTGTCGGCCGCCCGCCTCTTCTGTGCCCGGGGAAAAGGCCAGACAAATTGAACATGTATCAGCCACATGGCCCGTCTTCTCCAGACAGGCCCGCATTGGGAGTGACTGTCAGCCCGGGAATACTTCCCCACAGACCGAACAACAGGTAAAGCCTGAAACAAACCGTAAACATGTTAGTTAACTTGTGGCCAGAAGCAGAGAAACACGTAGAAAACATTGAAAAACTACGTGAAGGTTACCACGGAAAGTAATAGTTGGTTTTAAAGCGCCAATATTACGACCACGCGGCACGCTAAACTTCCCGCCATGGCAGAGCAACTGCGTAAACCGGGGAAAGTTTGCGTATTTTGATAGTACTTATACAAAGTCACAATTATGAAACAACCACTGTAAGGCTTTACTGTTATTGTTTTAGACAAATAAAACCAAACATACAGGTGGTGTCTCAGACATCTTAAAATACAGCGCCCGTGCGGCTCATGAAAGGTAATCTGTGACGTCTGTTCAGGGCCGTGACAGCAGAAGGAATGATGATACGGGTCTAGGAGCCTACCAGTTGGTGCGCATGCGCTAAGGGAGGTAACTCCGTGAGGTAGGGTCCGTATAATAAATAAAGAGTTTATTTATTGTACAATCTTTTTATTCAAAAAACATTGATACAACTGTCACAGGACATTTTTCAGCGGGAAAATGCATAATATGTACCCCAAGGACGATCTCTCTGAAAAAGAAATGTAGGAATACTGCATAGGAAACAGGCCTCTTGATACCTTGGAGGAACATCGCACAATAGAAGACTGATGTATCACTGTCAGCATGGTCCACGTAGCAGCAGTATTGACTGGGATAGTATTCACCAGTATTCCTTAGACAATACACTTAACACTAAGTCATATACACACACATGTGAGATGAAGGGAGGCCATCCAAAACAGTACACCTGTCTCAAAAATATTCAAGCTGGGATATGTTTCAGAAAAATTAATGCATACACATCTTGTTAGATGAGTAATTTGGAGAAAAGATTGGAAAATGGTACATCTCAGTTGAACAGTTATATGGAATATACTTTCTACTGAAGTATATCTGAATATGGAATATACTTTCTACTGAAGTATATCTGAATATGGAATATACTTTCTACTGAAGTATATCTGAATATGGAATATACTTTCTACTAAGTATATCTGAATATGGAATGCCTGTTTATGTGTTGTTACTAAAATGTGGGTAATGTGTGTCCATAGGTTTGAATTATATTTGATTAAAAATGAGATCAGGCTCACCAGTTGGTCGCCATCATTGAGAAGTGGCAGCAGAGGCTGTCTAAGGGGCCGACGGATGTAGTTGCCAGTGGCATTGGACTGGAAGTACATGGTAGCAAACTTGGGGAACTGGTAGGCCGACACATCCTCATCATCGGAGTCGATTGGGCTGAAGTTCTTGACGACTTCCATCTCTGGGTTGTCGAGGTCCCTCCTGCGCTGGGCCTCGAGGTCCTGAACAGTCACCACATAACAGAACAGTTCACACACTCTACTTACTTACAGAAACCAGAGGGCTGATACAGGTGCTGGTTCATATCTACACTACGAAATACTGATGGTGGCAAAGACACCACACATCAGGTACTAGACTCAAGAAACTTTAATCTGATTCCATCAATACAGTTAGATGTGGAGAAGTTGAGCTGTAGAGTGTAAGTAACATGGCTGCAGGACAGGTTTTACATTGTCTTCGTGACTTACCCTGAAGGCGGAAGGAGCGAAATCTCCCATGCCATCTCCTGGCTTGAGGTCCACAAAGTCAAACAACTCCGCCACCTACAACAGACAAACATATCTGCTTATACCATGTCTCAAAAGCAAGGAAAATAATGATGACTTATTGTAGTATGAATTACCCTCTGCAAATGTTAGATGTGAGATGTATAATGACTGACCAGCTGTGACTCGTTGACTGGCATGTCCTTGGTCTGCTCGGCCTGCTCAATCTGCTGCTTCTTGTGGAGAGCCTCCTCCTTCTGTCGGGCCTCCTCCTCCACCACCTCACGGTCAATCTGGGCCAGGCGTTCCTGAAAAGGACCAGGCATACCCTTTACTACCATGTACATTACTTACATAGAGCAGAGATGGTTAAACATCATCCCATGAAGGATTAGGGTGAAATAACTTTTCATTAACTATAACATATTTTGCATTCTTATGTCCAAAGTTAATACCATGTGATGTCGCTCTGCCTCCTCTTTGGCCTTCTTTGTGTTCATCTTCTTCCTTAGCTTGGCCTCCTCATCCTGTCGGATCCGCTCAGCCTCCATCCGTTTCTGGTACTGTAACACATTCACCTTACACTATACAGGGATAACACAGGACTGATATCATCTGAACCAGATCTGATAACATATGACCTGACAGGAAAAAAACATGCATACACTTGGAAGCACTTCGAATGTCCCAGGTTTGTAATCCAATTCCATGAGGATTTAGCTGCCAGTTGGGGTTGTCTGGATGATGAACTAACCTCGATCTGCATACGTCTGAATCTCTTCCTCGCAATAAGCGTTCGTAATGCAGCCTGTATCCTCACCACTGCCACCATGCGCCGCTGGACCCATTGTCGCACCAAGTATCCTCGACAGAACCGCTGGCAACACACGAACACCAATCAGGTAAAACAGCTGTACCTATCTTACAGTAAATCACTATTTATACCACAAATCACTGTCATAAAGAGTCCTACTGGAATATAGTGTGACAGGCAGGAAGGTGAGCTTCTGCACAGAGTTTTGCATTCTACTAACCTGTAGGTTGACAATAATTCCTCGTAGAACATTGTACCTGGCGGTGAGGATGCGAGATCGACACATGGCTTGAAGTCTCAGATAGCCTTGCTTCATCTGTAACAATAGTATCAACTGTCAGCTTCTGTGGATTCATTAAACAGAAGAGAATCTAATGATGTAAGAAGTGTCCCTTTCACTGAAGTAACATTTTGATTGAACACTAGTGCTGTCACGACTTACCAGCAAGAATCTACGCCGCTGATAGTGTGTCCTCCAGGCCGACTGGATGGTCACCACATTCTTGCGCATCCTGAGGAAGCGGCGTCGACAGTGCCAGGTCCTGACCGTCTTCTGCAGGATGAGGATCTTCTTTGTGAGGGTCAGCTCTCTCTGCTGTTCCAGGAAGACATCTTCTGCATCCTGCCAACACAGAAATATACTGTACACCACTGTGGTACTACAAGTGCAAGACTTATCTTAAGGTTATCTGTCAATATCAGACGTTTACATTTACATTTTACTTATATTCTATTACATATATTCTGCAAGATCAGACAATGCAAAAACAAACAGAAATACAAATTATTCCCTCATGCCATGTGAACATAACAGCACAAGGAAACTTCCCTGCACATGTTATCCAAGTATTACGCAGAGGTACCAAGACCGCTAGCTTTTACCTTGAGGAAAACTTTAGTCCTGCCCAGCTGGTAGTCCTTGCCCTGCAGCACCTCCTTACAGATCTTCTTGGATGCTGCCATGCAGTCCTCCTTGTGGGACGGACCCACGCCTGACACCAATACACGGTAACGGTCAACAAATTCACTAAACACATGTCGAATGGGATAGCCAGCTCGCCGGATTCTGATCGTCTCCATCATACCGGAGTATCGCAGCTGCTTGCAGCACAACTCTCTGTCAAACATCTGCAAACAGTCATTAAATAACATGCTAAGGGAAATTTGAGGAGTGGTAATACTGGTGTATGAAATTAGGCCTGTCCAACCACACGAGACAGTCTAGATTTCTGACGGACGGTCTAAATTTACAGCTAGCCAGCCCAATGGTCTGGTAAAAATACAGATTTTTCAAGTCAAATTTTTATTTTTATACTTATCCGGACTCATGATCTTTTGCTTATCTCCCTTTTCCTTGCGAATGGTAGTGGAGCATTTGAATCCCTTGAAGTTCCCGAACCGGACGTAAAAATACTCTCACCAATGAGTTACCTCCCTTTTCCCGCGTAAACAGTCATGTGACCAGCCTTACTTGTCACTCTCTCCTGATTTTACTGCCCAAGTACTTGGATCTGCTGTGAAATCCAAAGTGTTTCCAGCGGGTAGGTCGGGAGGGCTTCTCGTCATGAGTCAGGATAAGTATAAAAATATCAATTTTACCTGACAAATTACATATTTTTTCTTATCCTGACTCATGATCTTTTGCTTATAGAATCCGACAGATTGGTGGTGGGTCAGGCCACATCATGGATTCATCAGCTGTCCTGAGATACGTCCTGTATCCCCCCCATGGGAACAGAGTAGCGGCATTTCCGAGATCCTATTCTTCCAACTTCCGTTATAACTCGGGGGGTCCACTTTCTTGTCTTACTTACATTCATGTGGCTTCAGATAAACTAGCATCTTCTTATTACTAGATATCTTATAACAGCCCATAGATTTTGATAAGATCTTTATCATAAATGAGTTGCGACCCCTTCACGTACAGGATCTTTAATCACTCATGCTAGCCTGTCCTAGACTGTGCACATGGACTTTCAAACTAATACTTTTCCTTAGTAAAAGTTATCAACAAGTCAACGTGATAAAGGGTGAGATTATCCAACTCTGCTCCTTTGTGGAACAGTTAGTAGCTGTGCTACAATGAGAGGCCCAAATTGGTGAATGCCTGAGACGTCTTCAGTGGCTATGTCTGGGAGGTAGTGGTTGGCAAACACTGTATCCGACTTCCAAATGCAGCCCTCCTTAATTGCTGATATAGAGCAATTTCCATGCAGAGCTAGTGTTGACGCCAATGCTCTGACTTCGTGTGGGTTGGAAGCTCTTGGAGGTTCTAGTCCTGCTGGTTTATAGGCTCTCAATATGACGGCTCTCATCCAGAATGCTATCGTCGTTCTTGAGACTTCTGCTGATGTCTCTGTGGATAATAGGATGAACAGGCGCGCTTGAATTTTCATCTCCTTGTCTTAGTCTTTAAAGATATATCTTCAGGGCTCTGACCAGACACAAGGAAAGGGCCTCTATATCCTCTAGTCCGAGGATTGTAGATAGCGCTGGTACGTGGAACTGTCTATCTGGCTGACCAGGTAGTTGGTTCTTGGCAATGAAGTCACATCTAAGTCCTAGATGAACTGCAGCATGTTGCCCTGTGTCAAATCTGGTTCAACCAAAGTCCAGCGTATGTATCTCTGATATTCGAGCTGCCGTAGCTAGCGCAAGCAGGAACAGAGTCTTCTGTGTCAGCAGCTCGAGTGTAGTCTGGTCTAGAGGTTCGTAGGCATCACTGGTAAGAAGACGCAGAATTACATTCAGATCCCAGGCCGGAGCTCTGAACTTCTTTTGCTGGTCCTCCAGTTGAAAAGATCACAGCAGAGCAAGTAATTCTGGTACTCTCGTCAAATTAATGCCTGTTTTCATGGTAATCACTGTTCTAATGGCGGCGGGGGTATGTAGATAATGTCGAACCTTTCAGATGTCTAGTCTGTCTAAGATGACACCGGTATTCCGCCACTTGAGGATGAGTGGCTATCATCGCAGTGAAGCCTTTCCGCCTTGCGCAAGACTCAAACTTCAACCACTTGTCATCATACAGGTTACGAGTAGATCTGCGTAACGCTAGCGTTACTGCCTTGGCTGCCCTGGCGGAGTATCCTCTTTTCTTCAAACATGTTTTGATAAAGTCCACACGTGTAGCTGGAACAATGTTGGGTTCCTGCCAGTCTGGTAACTTGATTGTTGGACTTCCGAGATCTATTATTAGGTCTAGGAACCATACTCTCGCTGGCCAGTATGGCACGACCAAGGTCAGTTGTAGCGCCTGTCTCTGTTTGATCTTCAACAGTACTTTCGGTAGTAAGATCAGTGGTGCAAACACATAAGCGTTTAGTCCTTCTCATGATATCTTCAGTGCATCTGTTGCCCAGGCTTGAGGATCTGGAACTGGTGAGACAAACGTCTTTAATTGTTTGTTGAACCTCGTGGCAAACAGGTCTATGCATAGGGATCCTATTTCCCTTATGATGAGCCGAAATGCTTCTGGATGGAGCATCCATTCCATAGGCGACGGGTGCAGTGGTCGGGAGAGAGAGCCTGCAAGCACGTTCTTGGCTCCGGGTATGTGACACGCCTTTATCAAGATGTTTGCCTCCTCCATGATGTCAAACAACTGGAATGTGAGCTGTAGTAGGCTTGGTGATCTTGTAGATACTTGCCGATATATGGAGAATGCCACAGTAGAGTTGTCCATGTGGACCATCAGCATTCTGTTGATAAGCGAGCTCGACCGTGGTTGTAAGGCGTTGATCACAGCTTTCACCTCCAGCAGATTGATGTGAAAGATGCTGCTCTGTTTGGACCACTTCCTTGATGCAACTTGATTGTTGAGATGTGCACCCCAACCTTGTATCGATGCGTCTACGAGATGTGTGTTGAAGGCTGGCTCTTGTAAATAGGTCCCACCGCAGACGTTCGACCTATGGGTCCACCAAAGTAGGTACCTCTTAAGAGTGTCTGGCAGCAAGATAGGGTCGACGCTGTCCAGATGTTTTGTCCGGAACTGTTGCGGAGTCAAGTACTGCACCGAGGTTAGTAGACCGAGTAGACATTGCCATGTTCGTAGTGTTAACGGAAAGATGACTGCTTGTGAAATCATGGCTTGTATCTTGACCCAATGATCTTCTGGGACCACAATTTGATTCAGTGTTGTGATAATTCTTATTCCCAGCAATTGAAGATCTTGTTTGATTCTTACTCCAACTTCATCAGGTTCACTAGCCATCCAAGTAGCGTGAGCAACTTTATTGTGAAGTTCAGCTGCTGTCTGAGTTGATTGGCACTTTGAAGAACCTGTATGCTGTCGTCCAGATAACCGGCACTGCGTAGACCTCGATGCTGCAGATAGGTGCCGATAGGCTTGGTTATTCGTATGAAAAATCATAGAGCCGATGATATTCCAAACGGTAGGACCTTCCATTGGAAGTGCTAACCTCTGATTGCAGTGATGATACATCATTCTTCCCCTTATATACGCAGGCGATCTGTGTTGACATCGAAGCGTTGTCTATTTATAGCAAGGCTGGCTCCAGTATAGCATCGGAGAGGGACAGGTACTCATACCGACTTTTATCAGAGACAACTTCCAAAATAAACATCGTTTATCCTGCTGTCAAGGCTAGACATCTATTAGATTCCCATGATGTTAACAGGCCGTAGTTGTATACTGTTTCCAAAGCTGCCGATGAAGAATTTCCCCGTACCACAGGTTTGTTTGCAAATCAGAAAACATGCTGGAGCCTGCTCTGTCAGTGGGAGGCGTTGTCTGACGGATCAATCAGCTTCAAGCATGACGTCACCAGTGTTGTAGCAAGTTGGCCTCCATAAAATCTGATGCAATTAGTTGGTTGAGTAAAAGCGCGCGTAATTCTACGCCGCTCTTGAATAACTGACTGACTGAGTTTAGTTTTACGCCGCTTTTCGCAATATTCCAGCAATATCACGGCGGGGGACACCAGAAATAGGCTTAACACATTGTGCCCATGTGGGGAATTGAACCCGGGTCTTCGGCGTGACGAGCCAACGCTTTAACCACTAGGCTACCCCACCGCCCCCGCTCTTGAATAAGGTTGCTCCAAGTGTAAATTCTTGTTCAGTGATATTAAATCACTTATTCCCAGCATGACGAAGAAGGCTGTCGAGACGTATGTCTGTATGGATCTTGAAGAAATACCGATGTTGAATCTAGTTGATAGGATATAAAATCCTAATCCCCATGCTGAGTGACGAGTGTTAATAATATCATCTGTACGTCCGTTCAAGGATACTTGAATCGTTGTTAACCTTAAGCCCTTTATAAAGGTCACCTTGAGGTTCTCCAGTACTTGAGATATCGGCTTCATAGGTGATATAATTATGGAGTCGAAGTCATCAGCGTTTATGCATACGTCTCTGTTGGGTTGGAGTGAGTGAGTGAACGACAATATCCGAAGGCCATCTGCCACCCGGTATAAGACCTCAGCATCCGTATGGATGAAGGGATTCCTTTCATCAAGTAGGTTGTCGTCCGAAACTGAACCTATACAGGTATAAAGTTTATGCAGGTTGTAGAGTTGTGCAGGCTGTAACTGTAGAGATCGCACATGTAGATCTTTTTGTTGAGTTTTAAACACTGACAAAACCATCTGTTTTGATCATTGCCTCGTTTTATTCAGCCATATAGTAATAGAGTCGACGTCAACATCCTGCCTGTTGATGTAAAGGTTTGTTAACCCTAGGGTTCGCGAACCCTGTAGATGTCTGCATTGCTGTTATCTGCCTGTAGATCTGAGAGTTCTCGAACCTTGTAGATGTCTGTAGCTTTCTCAAAGGTGTGTGTAGGTTAGAAGGTACCTTGGATATAGTTTCAATCGGAGGAATAGTCATTGAGTCAAAGTTGTCATTATACAGGTATAAGGTTTATGCAGGTTGTAGAGTTGTGCAGGCTGTAACTGTAGAGATCGCACATGTACATCTTTTTGGTGAGTTTTAAACACTGACAAAACCATCTGTTTTGATCATTGCCTCGTTTTATTCAGCCATATAGTAATAGAGTCGACGTCAACATCCTGCCTGTTGATGTAAAGGTTTGTTAACCCTAGGGTTCGCGAACCCTGTAGATGTCTGCATTGCTGTTATCTGCCTGTAGATCTGAGAGTTCTCGAACCTTGTAGATGTCTGTAGCTTTCTCAAAGGTGTGTGTAGGTTAGAAGGTACCTTGGATATAGTTTCAATCGGAGGAATAGTCATTGAGTCAAAGTTGTCATTATGCATCTTATAAGTGTAGACTTCATCTTTATCCTTAGAAGGAGACGCCAAGTTCAACTATTGGCTATCCAATCTATAACGTCTGAGTCAGGGAAGACGAAGTCTGGTTATTCATCAGTTGTCTCCTGATCGGTAGAGCTATGTCTCCTTGAATCATCCTTGTGCGAACCTGTATCCCTTCTCGAACCTCCATCATCCTTTCGCGAACTGAAGATTCCTCCCTTCGCGAACGTCTATCTTAAGAGTCCTCTCTTCGCGAATCTCTATCTGTAGATTCATCTCTTCGCGAACCTCTGTGATTGAGCTTTCTCTTCGCGAACGTCTGTGGCTAGATGTATCCTTTTGCGAACCTCTGTGATGTGAGCTTTCTCTTCGCGAACATCTGTCGCTAGATGCATCCCTTCGCGAACCTCTGTGATGTGAGCCCTCTCTTCGCGAACCTCTGTCTCGTGATGAGTGACTTCGCGAAAATCTCTGTAAGAGATATGAGATCTCGATCTAGAGCGGCTAGGTGTAGGAGATCACAGGGTTCGCAGATGTAGAATGATGAGTAGGAATCTCATGTCTTCTATCCTCCAAGATGACAGAGTTGTCCGACTGTGGAACCTTCGCAAAGGTGTACATTCGCCAACGTAGTCTTGAGACGTAGTTTTTTGAGGAGTAGGTTCGCACAGGTCCGTAGGTTTGCGCACGATGTCAGTACATGGGAGGCTTTGCCGAGCCTTCGCTTCTTCCTCGAGCCTACGTTCCATCATGTCCATCATCTGGTTGGTGAATTGTCTCATAATTTCACCCGGATCTATTTTTGCGTTGATTGAAGCTGCTGCCGTGTAGAAGAAGTGTTCGCGAACGCTGATGAGCTGTGTGCCTCGACTTCACTCCGTTGAGAAGTTGGTGGTAGTTCGTCAAACAGCTGTCCTGCTGTGACCGTTGCAGGAGTCAATCTAGTAGTCGTGCAAGTCGATTGAGTCGCCAATCTCGTAGGTACTTCGGGTAGAAGTAACGGAGGATCATCAAAAAACGTCTACTTCATGCGGAGGTAATATCTCTTTGTTGAAGGATTTCTGTTGTGTTTACTTACTAGGCCCCGAGATTTACCCTCCGATCTGGTAACAGATGCTTTCTTCTGCGACGTAGAAGAAGATGACGTCTTTTTCATGTTTTATCAGCCGTGGCTTGAGATGACTTCCTCAACCGATCCATGGCACGTCTATAGATATAAGATAAATATTGATTAAATTGTGGATTTGATAAATCAACACAATAAGTACAGCGCAAGCTGGAAGAACATGGTTTTATGCACGAAAGACATTGGGAGTGAGGATCAGCCATGGAAAACCTGTGCCTGCAAACACTGCAACATTTCAGGAAATGTAAACAAAGTTACATAACGATGAAATTATGACACAAACACAAATAATTTTTATACTATTTTTATATATAATACATAGTAGTTATTGCCAAATCCATACACAGCGTAATTTTGAAGAATAGGACCTAAATAAAAAGGATATAATGCCGTGTACGGGACTCCAGTGCTCGCCCAACCATCCACTTGGGCGAAAAGGGAGAGAGTGATAAATAAGGCTGATCACATGACTGTTTACGAGGGAAAAGGGAGGTAACTGTCTGTGAGTATATTTTTACGTCCGCTTCGGAAACTTCAATGGATTCAAGTGTTTCCACTACCATTCGCAAGGAAAAGGGAGATAAGCAAAAGATCATGAGTCCGGATAAGACTTTTTTTTTAGATGTTCCGTACATCTGAGTAAATTCACCATATTTGGTCTGGTTAAATCCATTTCGGGCTGGCAACATTTTGAAGTTACCGGCCCTGGTTTCTGGCTGGACTTTTGGCTTATTTCATACACTGGTTATACAAAGCACTTTCCAAGGAACCAACTATCAACATGTCAGAACTAAAGATATTACAGAAGACAGTGATAAACAGCAACCAGGCAATGAGTAATATCAAGACAGATCAGGCATCTTAGTCAGAGAGTTGAGTTTTTTTGCCGCTTTTAGCAATGTTCCAGCAATATCACAGCGGGGGAACCAGAAATGGACTTCACACTCAGGCATCTTAGTGACCAGGGATCAACTGGATGGTGAGAGGACCAATGCAGCTCACATACATTATAGACCATCACACCACTTCTAGTACTAATGATGCCTTGAGTTAGTGGGCACTTCATCTTCAAAGGCTTGCACAACTCAAGGTATACATTAAACATGACATGATTACAGCATCATAAAAAAAGATACAATTAACATTTTTCAAGAACATTTAACTCAAGATCACCAACTTCAGAATTACTGATTACTTACACTAGGTTTCTTAAACTCATTTGGTTTGATGCATCGTACAAAGAATGGTTGACAGCTGCTGAGTGTCTTCATGAGAGCATCAAGAGACTTCTTGAACTGGGCAGCTAGTGTTGGGGCTCGCTTTCGAGTGTCTGTTCCCTGTGAATAAGAGCATGTTTGATGAGTTTTAGCATTCAAAATAATTAAAGTGTGTAGGGTAAGATCGTAAGATGGATAAAGACTTTTCTGATTGAGGTAACAAGCCGAACATCAGGATGAAAGTAGAGCTGGCTAGAACTTAGAGATCTGGATGTCAATCAGGATGAATATCAGATTTTACATCAACTGGATCGCTGTAGGCATTTGTCATGTTAACCCTTTGACATGAGACACAAGCGAACATGACCATGCACAACTTCTTGGAGACGATGACTTGAAAATGCAAAAGGACCTCCAATCGGTGCAGATATGGCTGTTGACACAGCTCTTTCTCAACAGGATCATCTGCTCCAGCAAATTTGTCATATCCTTCCAGATCTGCTGAAGAGGTCCAAGAGGAATTGAATAGCTGCATCTAGTTGGGGAGGGTTTGGGGTTGAAAGAAGCAATTGTATATGTTGGCAGCAAAGTGCAAATCTCAAACATTTTAACAATATTTCTTAGTTATTCTCAGCTTAACAGGAATTTATAGCTATGTGACAAAGAGGCAGGATATATTTTTCCACAGCCCTAAGAGAGTGTATGTTGCCTACCATTGATGTATCACTGGAGAACAGTTTGGTGAGGAACTTGTTGCGTGATGTCTGGATGAGCTGCATCAGGTCGGCACTGAACGTGTCTCGGTTCTTCTCAAGAAACCCTACAGAGCATGGAACAGAACTATGTGAATAGACATAATTCTACCGCGAATTTTGATATTACTCAATCCTGATTGGCCAGAGGTTAACAAATCATCACAAGCCCCTGACTGAATCAGCTAATGTATTACACATGGCTAATATTTTCAAATAACTATACAGGCAATTATAGGTTACAAAATACAAAGCTGCAGTTACTAAGACATTTAAAGCAACTGTGGTTATACATCTTGTGAAATATGTCATATTTTTGGCATCACTTTGAGTGATTTGATGACGTGATAACAAACAGTGTAAAAATGTAATTTTTCAAGTAAATTTTTTATTTGATAGGCACTGAAAGCATGTAGCACAGCTACTTTGTATGCTAACATCCATCAAGTTTGCTCAACAAAAAAGGACAAGTAATCAAACCTTGCAAGGTTCTAATTTTTTCTTATCCGGACTCATGATCTTTTGCTTATCTCCCTTTTCCTTGCGAATGGTAGTGGAAACACTTGAATCCCTTGAAGTTCCCGAAGCGGACATAAAAATACACTCATCCACGAGTTACCTCCCTTTTCCCGCGTAAACAGTCATGTGACCAGCCTTACTTGTCACTCTCTCCTGATTTTACTGCCCAAGCACTTGGATATGCTGTGAAATCCAAAGTGTTTCCAGCAGGGTGGTTGGGAGGGCTTCTCGTCATGAGTCAGGATCAGTATAAAAATATCAATATTACTTGAAAAATTACATATTTATTCTTATCCTGACTCATGATCTTTTGCCTATAGAATCCGACGGATTGGTGGTCGGTCAAGCCACTTCCTGGATTCATCAGTTGTCCTTAGATACATCCTGTATCCCGCCCATGGGAACTGAGAAATGGCATTTCCGAGATCCTTCTTCCAACTTCCGTTAGACCTCGGGGGGACCATTTTCTTGTCTTACTTCCATCTCAGACAAGTTGAATTATCTTGATTCATGTGGTTTCAGATAAACTAGTATCTTCTTATTACTAGATATCTTATAACAACCCATAGATTATGTTAAGATCCTCTATATCCTCTGGTCCGAGGATTGTAGATAGCGCTGGTATGACCAGGTAGTTGGTTCTTGGCAATGAAGTCACATCTAAGTCCTAGATGAACTGCAGCATGTTGCCCCGTGTCGAATCTGGTTCAACCAAAGTCCAGTGTATGTATCTCTGATATTCGAGCTGCCGTAGCTAGCGCAAGCAAGAACAGAGTCTTCTGTGTCAGCAGCCCGAGTGTAGTCTGGTCTAGAGGTTCGTAGGCATCACTGGTAAGAAGACGTAAAATTACATTCAGATCCCAGGCTGGAGCTTTGAACTTTTTTTGCTAGTACCTCCAGTTTAAAAGATCTCAGTAGATCAAGTAATTCACGTACTTTCGTCAACTTGATGCCATTTCCATGGTAATCACTGTACTGATTGCAGCGAGGTATGTAGATAATGTCGAACCCTTCAGATGTCTAGTCTGTCTAAGAAGACACAGATATTCCGCCACTTGAGGATGAGTGGCTATCATCGCAGTGAAGCCTTTCCGCCTTGCATAAGTGTCAAACTTTAGCCATTTGTCGTCATATAGGTTATGAGTCGATCTGCGTAACGCTAGCGTTACTGCTTTGGCTGCCCTGGCGGAGTATCCTCTTTTCTTCAAGCATGTTTTGATACTGTCCACACGTGCAGCTGGAACACTGTTGGGTTTCCGTGGACTTGCTTGGTTTGCGGATGTATTAGTATCTGGTAATTTGATTACTGGGTTTCCGAGATCTCCTGTTAGGTCTGGGAACCATGCTCTCGCTGGCCAGTAAGGCGCGACCAAAGTCAGTTGTTGCGTCTGAGGCTGTTTGATCTTGAACAGTACTTTTGGCAGTAATATCGGGGGTAGAAAAGTGTAGCCGTTTAATCCTTCCAACGACATGCTCAGTGCATCTGTTGCCCAAGCTTGAGGATCTGGAACTGGCGAGACAAACGTCTCTAGTTGTATTTTGAACCTCGTGGCGAACAGGTCTATGCAAGGGGATCCTATCTCCCGTATGTTCCGAAACGCTTCTGGATGGAGCATCCATTCCATAGGTGACGGGTGTAGTGGTCTTGAGAGAGCGTCTGCCAGTACGTTCTTGGCTCCGGGTATGTGACACGCCTTTATCCAGACATTTGCTTCCTGTGTTATCTGGAACAACTGGAATGTGAGCTGCAATAGGCTTGGAGACCTTGCGGTTCCTTGCCGGTTTATGGAGAACGCTACTGTAGAGTTGTCCGTGTGTATCATCGACATTTTGTTGTTCAGCAAGCTCGACCATAGTTGTAAGGCGTTGATCACTGCTTTCATCTCTAGCAGATTGATGTGCAGCTGCTGTTCTATTTTGGACCACTTTCCTGAGGCCATTTGATCGTTGTGATGCGCCCCCCATCCTAGCATCGAGGCATCTGCGTAGAGATGTGTGTCGAAGGCCGGCTCTTGTAAACAGGTCCCTTCGCAAACATTCGACCTGTGTGTCCACCACAGTAGATATCTCCTGAGGCAGCAAGATAGGGTCGACGCTGTCTAAATGTTTTATCAGGAACCGTTGCAGCGGTCTTAGTTGTAACCTTCCTGTGCGAGTCAAGTCCTGCGCCGAGGTTAGCAGACCGAGTAGCACTTGCCATGATCGTAGTGTTAGCGGAGAGATGACTGCTGGCAGAATCATGGCTTGTATCATGACCCAGCGATCCTCTGGGACGGCAATCAGTGATAAACCTGTGTGGTTCCAACTCTGACTTCATCAGGTTCAACAACCATCCTAGTTGAGTGAGCAACTTAATAGTGAAGTTCAGTTGTAGTTTGAGTATACTGGCATCTTGGTGAACCTGAATTCCGTCGTCCAAGTAGAAGGCATTGCGTAGACCTCGATGATGTAGGTATGCGACTATAGGCTTGGTTACTTGTGTGAATAGCCACGGAGCCGAAGATATTCCAAACAGTAGGACTTTCCATTGGAAGTGCTGCCCTCTGACTAGGAATCGTAGATACCTTCTTGATTCCTGATGTATCGGGATATGAAGGTATGCATCCTGCAAGTCTATGCTGGCCATGTAATCTGCTGGACTGATGAGAAGTTTGAGTTGAGGTAGGTGGATCATTCTGAACCTCTCTGGTTTCAGTAAGTAGTCTTTGTTGAATTTGTGCATGTTGTAAATCAGTCTGAACTGGGTACTAGAAAAATTGGGGAATAGAAGCCTGGAGTGAGATGATTCCGATCTATTATCTCCACCGCATCTTTTTCCAGTAATGGGTTGATGGCTTCTTGTAGTTTGACTGCCTGTTAGGGTTAGCGGAGGTGTGGCTTTTAGTTGTACTTTGTACCCTTCTCTTAGTACTTGAGAGACGTAGTCGTCCTCTAGTATCCCCCAATTCTTCCAGTACCCTTGTAGACATCCACCCACTGTCGATAGTTTTACAGGAACGGCTGGGGATGGAAGACTCCTGTCGTTCCGAACCCTGATATGAACGTCTAGTGCCTCTGGAAGCTCTGGGGCCGCAGCCTCTCCCTGAGTTTCCTCTGTAATTTCCGGATGGGCGACAAAAAGATTCTTTACCGCCTTTGAAGCTAGAGTACTTCTTGTCCTTAGCTTTCTGTATTCCGGAATATTTGGACTTGTTGTTATACTTCTGAGAAGTATGGCAGATGACGTTGGCCAGAGTATCTATGGTTCTAATCATCATCACCTCTCTGGTATCATGCGTAGCTTCCTTAGCTGCATCGTCTATTAGACCTCCAAATATGTTAGGCGCCTCCCATGGAGCTCTAAGTAGTGGTTGGGTGAATCTATCATTCCAAGAGCAGCACGCCAGTAGTCCCTGTCTGCGTATCAAGGTGAGTCCCGCAGATATTGATGTGAGATGGTCCGACAAAAAGAATTGATCCTTCTTTTGTGTAACGAGGGCTGAGTATATCATCTTATCCTCTTCTGAAGTTGAATTCTGGAAATTATGTATCAATGCTTCATTGACAGCTCTGGACCTGGCCAACCCAAAGGAGGATCTCCTTGTAGCAGTATCCAACTGCGATAGCTTTTTGTCTTCCACTTTATACATCTTATTCCAGGCATCATTCACCAGTTTGATGTTATCATCCCTATCAGGCGTCTTCACAAACGGATCCAAATGGTGTAAGGGGAATCTCCTCTTATTAAATGATGGTAGTTGCTGACTCTGATACTTCGAAGCCATCGCGAAGGCTGTGCGAAGGTTTGAGGGTACCTTGGATATAGGTTCGATCGGGGGCATTGTGACGGAGTCGAAGTCATCATTGTGCATCATATAAGTGTAGACTTCATCGAACGTCTATCATAGGGCGAACTCCTGTAATGAGAGTCTTCTCCTCGCGAACCTCTAGCTTGAGGTGAGTAGCTTCGCAAATGTCTGTGCGCAGTCTGTGATCTCGTCCTAGAGAGGCTAGGTGTAGGAGCAGGATCCTTCGATGTTCTCAAACGTTGAGGGTTCGCGGACGTAGTTAGAGTAGGTAAGTCATCTCTATCATCCTCCAATATGACAGAGTCCTCCGACTGTGGAACCCTTCGCGAAGGTGTACGTTCTCGAACGTCACTTTGAGGTGTAGATCCAAGAGGAGTAGATTCGCGCAGGCCCATGGGTTCGCGTACAGTTTCGATGGATGAGAGGCTTTTCCTAGCCTTCGATTCCTCCTGGAATCTACGTTCCATCATGTTGGTGAACTGAGTCATAAATTCCCCTGGGTCGAAGTTCTGCATAGGTTGACGCTGCTGCGATGTACATGAAGCGTTCGCGAACGCTGATGGGTTATGTGCCTCAACTTCAATCCGAGAAGTAAGAGGTAGTATGTCGAACAGCTGTCCAGCTGTGCCTGTAGTAAGGGACGACCTCGTGGTAGTAGAGGTTGATTCCGTCGCTGATCTCATAGATACTTCTGGTAGAAGTAATGTGGGTTCGTTAAAGACATCGAGTTCGTGAGGCGGTACAATCTCTTCGTTGAAGGATTTCTGGTGCGTAGCTGAGCTAGCACGCGTAGCTTTGCCCTCAGGTCTGGTAACCGTAGACTTCTTCTGCGTTGAAGAAGAGGATGACGTCTTTTTCTTAGTCTGAGACGGCGTTGATAGAGATGTAGACGATCTTTTCCTGGCCCCCTTACCAGCAGACTGCCCCTGCAACGCACTCGACATAGCACCAGCATTATGAACATCGACATTAGCAAGCAAGATACGGTTTGTAGGCTGATCTGTAGTATTATCAGTCGTGACTTGAGATGACTTTCTCACCCGATCCATGGTACGTCTATAAATATAAGAAAAATATTGATTAAACTGAAGATTGGATAAATAAATACAATAAGTACAGAGCAAGCTGGAGGAACATGGATTTATGCACGAGGGGCATTGGGGGTGAGGATCAGCCATGTATAACCTGTGCCTGCAAACAATACAGGATTTCATGAAATGTAAACAACGTTACATGACGATGAATTTACGACTCAAAGTCAATAAAGTTTTACAATTTTTTTTACAAATACTACATAGTAGTTATAGCCAAATCCATATACAGCGTACTTTTGAAGAATAGGTCTAAATAAATAGTATGTGATGCCGTATACGGGACTCCAGTGCTCGCCCAACCATCTGCTTGAAAAGGGAGAGAGTGACAAGTATGGGCACGTCACATGATTGGTTTGCACGGGAAAGGGCAAGGGAGGTAACTCGTGGGTGAGTGTATTTATACATCCGCTTTGGGAACTTCAAGGGATTCAAGTGTTCCACTACCATTCGAAAAGGGAAAGGGAGATAAGCAAAAGATCATGAGTCATGATAAGGAAAAATAACAAATATTGATTAAATTGTAGATTTGATAAATCAACACAATAAGTACAGCGCAAGCTGGAAGAACATGGTTTTATGCACGAAGGGCATCGGGGGTGAGGATCAGCCACGGATAACCACGGATAGCCAAATCCATACACAGCGTTATTTTGAAGAATAGGACCTAAATAAAAAGGATATAATGCCGTATACGGGACTCCAGTGCTCGCCCAACCATCCACTTGGGCGAAAAGGGAGAGAGTGACAAGTAAGGCTTATCACATGACTGTTTATGCGGGAAAAGGGAGGTAACTCATGGGTGAGTGTATTTTTACATCCGCTTCGGGAACTTCAAGGGATTCAAGTGTTTCCACTACCATTCGCAAGGAAAAGGGAGATAAGCAAAAGATCATGAGTCCGGATAAGAAAAAATTAGAACCTTGCAAGGTTTGATTACTTGTCCTTTTTTGTTGAGCAAACTTGATGGATGTTAGCATACAAAGTAGCTGTGCTACATGCTTTCAGTGCCTATCAAATGTTACAGTGAAGAATAATGGAGTTAAAACTTGTGTGATCATACACATACACATTTTCCATTGTGTTACGCTTCTCTGATCGCACTGAAGCATACTTGTGTAAACAAATGGAAGAACACCGGGCAAGAACACCTGGACTGCTCAATGTGGAGTACAGTTTGTGGCTAATCTACCTGTGGGTGTACAGAGCACCTACTACGTACCTTTGACACTGCCCTATGAGGACATTGCACTAAAACATGTCTGTGTAAGGTTCATAGTAAATCTACCTGTGGATGTATAGAAGACAACACCAGCAAAGTGGTTGAGACCAAAGGTTGTGTTGATCTGAGCCTTGGGCTTGAGGTAGTTCTTGTTGGAAGCATGGTTCTGGTGAAGCTTGGCCAACATGGTCTGGTCAGTCCCCTGGAACACATCAATGAATCAGAACACAGGTCCTCCCTAGCTAGGTTGGTCAAGCTGTAAGTAGTTACACTGACAGGACAGTAATTCAGGCTAAATCACTTCAATACCTTTGTATTTACCAGTATCAATGTTGGAAGTTAACTTTGCACATAGTGTCCCCTTAGACACATGCTTTAAGTGTTTCTCCTTCTTGATGTTTGTGCACATAGGAAACAAGGACCAAAACAGCCTCTTCCAACAAGTCAGTAAAGTATATTTCCTGCGTGTGGCTTTTAGGTTTATGCACAAATCATTTCAGACAACTTCATAAACAGATGTCATATTGACCATGGTTTATCCTTACACCAATCAGCTAACTTAGACTCAGCTGTACTACAAATAATGCCATAATGCAAAATGTGTTTTTGAGAACAATCACCCAGCAAGAAGTAAGACTGTTCTTTTGAAAAATTCTCCCACTTAAAATGATTCTCTTTTTTCTTTGTGGGTGACACAGTAAATAGAAAACTACTGATCAGACAAAACAAAATTAAACAAAACAATGACATATTGGGGAATTATGGTCACAATTAAGTGCATGAACGATGTGTACCCTAGGGAACTTGCTTTCCTCGTCAACGAGGGCCATGATGTTCATGGGCTTGATGGCAATGAGGTCCAGCGCGTCCTGGTTGTCCACAAACTCTATATGTTGCCAGTTGATGCCTTCGATGTTGTACTCTTGCTGCAAGCAAATACCCATAACACATGATATATTATATTGCGCTGCGCACACGACACACAAGACACCTTACATACTACACGCGACGCATCACACACACACACACACACACTGCATACGTATGATCCTGCAGGCCTTCCTAAACAATAACAGTGCTAAATCAACAGAAAAAACAGGATTTAGTCAATTCTGAAAATGACACAGGTGTCAGCTGCCAGGACAATCCATGCAGTGTTTCAGGTTTACGAAAGTGTTTGTAGTTTCAGGGAATGTTGAAAATGAAATGGTTTACAACAGAGAGATAGATGAAAACATGGCATGAGACACGAGCTCACACTTGGGAGATCCTGCCAAACATTACTGTATACTGTAATCAGGCACATATCACTTTCAACTAACCTGCTCAAGTTTAAAGATGTGTCGTACAAAGAACTGTTGGAGGTTCTCATTGGCAAAGTTGATGCAGAGTTGTTCAAAGCTACAACATACAATAACAGTTATATAAAAATGTAATTTTTTGATTCAAATTGATATTTTATACTTATCCTGACTCATGCTTAATTGCTTGTCTCCTTCTTCTTGCGAATGATAGTGGAACACTTGAATCCCCTTTCGAAGCTCCCTTCAAAAAGCAGGCGTAAAATCACTCACCCAGTGTTATCTCCCTTTAGTTGTTTTGGCGGAAACTGCGTCACAAGATCCCCCGTTTTCACTCTCTCCGAATTATCGCCCGACACCTGGATTTCAGGGAATCCAGAGTGCCATGAGGGAGGTTGGGAGGCTTACCTCATGAGTCAGGATAAGTATCAAATATCAATTTTAATAACAAAATTACATATTTTTCCTTATCCTGACTCATGCTTAATTGCTTGTAGAATCCAACGGAATCGGTGGTGGGTCAAGCCACTCTGGATTCAATGCTGATTTACGTCCTGCATACCCCCCTGAGGGAACTTCTTATATACTAGCTACATAAAGAAACTGTGCATTGTCAAAATATTATCCCAGTTGATAAGTACGATAACAATGTCAAAGGTACATATAAACTTTAAAGGAGGGATCATGAGACCATAACAAGTCGGGAGAATTTCAATTGAAAAGTCAATCACAATGACGTAACGAGTCCACAAGCGGGACAGGGGTCAAACGACCATGTCACAAGCTCAATAACGGGTATGTCCACCATCGGCATTGAGAACGGCAGTGCATCGATGACGCATAGAGCCTATCAAACGTGCAAGGAAGGCTTGTGGGATGTCACGCCAGATTCTCCCAAGTTCTGTTGCAAGGTCAAGGACGTTATCTGGCGGATGAGGAAGACGGCGTAGACGTCGATCCATCTCGTCCCAAACATGCTCTATCGGGGAGAGATCCGGTGAATTTGCAGGCCAAGGCAGTAAGTCAACGTTGTGCTGCTGCAAGAAATCCATAGCAACCCTTGCCGTATGAGGGCGGGCATTGTCCTGTTGGAATGTTAACCCAGGTCCATGACGTTGAAGAAAAGGAATTGCCACAGGATGAAGAATCTGATCCCTGTAGCCCACACCAGTTAAGTTGCCCTGAACAATCACCAAAGGAGTTCTTTGGCGTGCTGTTATTCCACCCCAAATTATCACGGAACCACCACCACCAAAGCGATTCCTCTCCAAGACACAGGCCTGTGCATAACGTTCTCCCACGCGTCTATAGGCACGTTGACGTCCATCACTATGGGAAATGTTAAACCTGGACTCATCTGTAAACACATTTCTCCACCAAAACAAGGGTCTGCGGACATGATTTTGGCACCACATTCGGCGAGCTTGTCGATGACGTTGTGTCAGGATAGGCCGTATGGCGGGACGTCGTGGTCTGATCCCGTGATGACGTAAACGTTGTCGAACTGTGTTGGGGTGGATACGGCGAATTCCTGGGATGGTTCGGGCAGTCATCAGTGCAGTCTGAAATCTGTGGCGAAGATGGGTCACCCTTATCCATATGTCCTGTCTTGGCGTTGTTACATGTGGACGTCCAGAACGTGGCCGATCGATGATGTCATTTGTGTTCTGGTAGCGTCTCACCAGTGCAGAAATGGTGTTCCGGTGGCAGTGGAAATGTGCAGCCACTTGTCGTTGAGACATTCCCCCATGGACCATCCCAATGGCCTCATGACATTGTGCAGACGTGTGCCTTGGCATGCTATGCATTTCAATAGCCGTTTAATTTTTTGAACGATCACAAGGGCAGGGGTTGAGCTTTCCAAAGTGACAGTATTGTGTGGCATTCATTTGCTCTGTATCTCTTTCCCGAAATGCACGTGCAACAATGTATTGCACGTCTCAAGGACGAACCCACTGACGTCACGGAGCGTGGCACGTGCATGCATGTTGGATACATGTCACTAATCTCTGAGTTTAAATCCTTATGTATCTACACAGGTTTGATAAATTTAGATTTTACATTTTGATATGCACAGTTTCTTTATGTGCCTAGTATAGTACTATGCTGATCCTTCCTTCCAGCTTCCTCTGATGAGTTTGGGGGGACAACAACTTGTCAGATTTCTCTGGAACCGCTTCTCCCGACATTAAGTGTGGATTTATACGACTCCATGTCTCTGACTTCCAATAGCAGCCCCCCATTATTGTCGAGATGGAACAGTTTCCATGTAGAGCGAGTGTCGATGCCAGTGCTCTGACTTCATGAGGATTGGAGGCTCGTGGAGGCTCAAGTCCTGCTGCTTTGTAGGCTCTTAAGATGACGGCTCTCATCCATATTGATATTGTACGTGAGATTTCTGTAGGTGTCTCCGTAGATAGAGGGATGAAAAGGCGCTTGAATTTTCGTCTCCTCTTCTTAGACCTTTGTAGGTAGACTTTTAATGCTCTGACTGGATATAAGGATAGATACTGAGTATCCTGTGACCCAAGGACTGACGAGAGTGCTGGGATGTGGAATTGTCTGTCTGGCTGACCGGGCAGTTGGTCTGACTGCGTTGAGATGACTGCTGATGTAACTGTAGATGAAGACCTCGTCTTCTTCCTCACTGCTACTTCAGGAATGAGGATGGGTGGCTCGTCATATACAACTACTTCATCTGCCGGGATGATCTCTGCAGCGAATGGAATATAAATAATTAGTTAATTCAAATTCGGATAAATGCTGACAAAGTTTACAGCGAAAGCTGGAAGAACATGTACAGGTACAATTAGGACATAATAAATGCGGATCAGCAACCTACAAACAGTATCTGCAACGAATGCAAGTTTTCATCAATTGTAAACAAGATGAAAAATCATGTCAACAACGTGAATAAACAGATAATTTAGACACAAATTTCAAACCATATTGCTGGTATATCAATCCTAAATGCCGTATACAGCTAATTTCGTAGTAAAGGCCTAAATATAAAAGGATGTAACGCCATATAAGGGACCCAGGCGCTCTCACAACCGTCCTCTAGGGCAAAGAATGAGAGAGTGACAACATGTGGGGGTCATGTGATGCAGTTTCCCGCCAAAACAACTAAAGGGAGATAACACTGGGTGAGTGATTTTACGGACGCTTTTTTTAAGGGAGCTTCCGAAAGGGGATTCAAGTGTTCCACTATCATTCACAAGAAGGAGACAAGCAATTAAGCATGAGTCAGGATAAGGAAACATTTTAACTAAACCTGCAGAAGTTTCCAATTCTTTGAAGAGAGTCGTCCTTGGGGTACATATATGCATCTTCTGCGGCTGAAAATGTCCTGTGACAGTTTTATCAATGTTTTAAGAAAAATATTGTACAATAAATAAAATCTTTTTGATCTATTATACTCACGGCGCACCATACCCCAATCCAAGGATTCAGTGGGTGGCTTGGCCTCTGTCAGGTCTAGCCTCGAAGCACGCGGAATTCCTGCAGCAGTTGCAGACACAATTCTGGCTTCGAGGCGGGATTCGGGATAGGTGGTCCGCTATGCACGCTGGTGTTCAGATAAGGGGATTGCAGATCCCTTTTCTGCTGATTTAGTCCGAGTATTGGAGTTTTTGCAAGCTTGTTTGGAAGAAGGCCTGGCGGCTTCGACCATTCGTGGCTACTCCATCGCTATTTCCACTTTTCACACCCCTGTCGATGGTGCTCTTCTGGGGCAGCACCCTCTCATGCAGCGCTTTTTAGCTGGCACGGATCGGGTTCGACCTGTTGTCAGGCGAACCAGCCCACCTTGGGATTTGTCAATTGTGCTAGATTGGCTGTCCGGTCCTACGTTCTCACGTCTATCGGCTATTTCCATTCAGTTGTTAAGATGGAAGGCCGTATTTCTGGTGGCGGTAACATCTGGGCGTAGGGTCGGCGACTTACATGCTATGTCGGCAGACCCGGCGCTGACTGTGTTCCATCCCGATTGTGTCAGTATTCGCCTCCCGGACACTTACCGCCCGAAGGTCGATCACGCTTTCCATGTGACAGCTCTTATCGAACTTCCTACTCTTAGGAGGAGTGAGAATGAGGGAGCGCTGAGTGAGAATGTCCGATCGCAAAGGTATCAGAACAGGAGGCTGAGCCAGAAACCTGAGAATTACCGCAAACCAGCTCTGTGAGACTCTGCTCCAGATCCTCCGAGTGAGCCCACAGACTCGGCAAAGCTTGCTGTATAGGGCGCCAGCCACACTACAGAGATAGTCGCCGCCATATGGCCCAGTAGAAGGAGCCAAGTCCGCGCTGGTGCCTGGGGCTGAGAGAGGAACGAAGACACCATCTCCCGTACTCTGGTGACCCTGTTGGGCGACAAGGAAACAAGATGTGAGTTTGGAACCGTGCCCCGAGAAAAATCAAGTCCTGGGTGGGTACCAGGTTGGATTTCTTGAGGTTGATGATCCACCCCAGTCGAACTAGAATGTCTATCACCTTGTGGGTAGAATCTAGGCTTGCCGGCTGAGTTAGAGCGCTGAGCAACCAGTCGTTGAGGTAAGGGTAACAACGCCTTCCCTACAACCTTGCGAGGGTAGCTGGCACTAACATGAGCTTGGTGAACACCCTGGGGGCAGTGGATATGCCGAAGGGGAGCACCGTAAATTGGTTATTCATCCCGTCGTAAGAGAACCGGAGGTACTGCTTGAACGATGGATGAATGGGCACATGTAGATACGCATCCTTTAGATCGATTGACGTAAGCCAATCGCCGGGCTGAACAGAGGAGATCACCGAACGGAGTGTCTCCATCGTGAAGAAAGGTACCTTTATTCATGCGATTCAACCCCTAGAGGTTGAGAATGGGACGGAACCCGCCGTCTTTCTTCAGAACGAGGAAGTACGTGGAATAAAATCCCGCCTGTTCCTCGCCCGGTGGTATGCGCTCTATTGTGGACTTATCCAGCAAAGCCTGAACTTCGTCTCGCAGTATACCCGCCCTGACCGGACAGGACGGCACCGGAGTGCGACGTATGCCGGTGAAGTCTGGCGGGCCTCACTTCCTCAGTGGTAGATGGCCGACACTGACAGTGGAAAGCACCCAAGTGTTGCAGGTAGCATTCTCCCACTCGGGCAGGAATAGAGAGAGGTGGCCCCTCACTAGGACGTGTGGTAAGAGAGCGTGAGTGGTCCCGAGTAGATGAACTGACTGTGACGGACCCACGGAACAGCCGGAACGGGAGCACGGGGGTCGAGAAGGTAGGCCTCGTGTATTACCAGCCGCACCTGCTGCATGGCATTCTGATAGACCTCCTCGTAGGTCCGGTAAGACTGTCGTAGGGGGGAGCGCCCGCAAGGGCAAACGGTGGCACTAAATGCCCTCGTCTGGCAGCCAGGGCTGCACAGGGGGAAGCCAAGCCTCCCCCCAGGGTGACCGAAGTAAACACACACTCGTTGACCACTGGTACAAAGAACAGGGAATCTTCCCCCAGCTGGTACCTCTTGACAAGTTCGGGCAAGTCGAACCGGAGGCGTGTCCCAACCAGGAGGGGATCCACCACATCCTGCACCGGGGATGGCAAGATGCAGAGCAGCGTCTGCGAGGGTTGCCTAGGGGCAAATGCCTCGCCCGGCAGGCGGAACTCAGACGAGTCCGAGCGGCTGGTAGGTACCGCGGCCTGGGGGATAAACTCAGCAATAAGATGCCGTACCTCCCGCAGAGCCGTCGAGAAACGGAAAGGGCCCTCCGGGCTCCTCGACCTCCCCAACGTCCATGGACTCAGCACCCGAGCCAAGTCAGAGGCTGGGTCTCCTCACAAAGAGGGCCCGAACCCCGACCCAGTGGGAGGCCAAGCACCAGACACAGAGGGAAGGGAAGAGACGAAGGAACTCCCCGCTCCAGCACCCGACACCACATTCAAACCCCGTTCCCGAGACGCGGGAGGAATACCAGGCAGAACTGGTTCCTCCGCTTTCATGGGGCGGAGCGGCGCAGGGACCGGAACCCCAGGAATCCTCAACGGACCCTGCGCCAACACCGAGAGGGGGACTGGGAGCGAACCCTCCCCCTACAGGGTAGCCGAGGCGTCCGGACCCGAGGCCAGAGGCAACGGATCTACAGATGCCTCCAGGTCAAGGGATCAAGCTAAGCTCGGCGATCCCACCCCAGTCTCTGTCCCCTGCTCAGAGTGGGCAAGGGACTCCTGCTGGAGACCTCCAACCGATTCATGAACAAGGGACTTCACTGAGTCCACGTGCTGCTGAAAAAGCTGTGTTATTATGGACATGTCAAAACTGCTGTGTGAAGGAGTAGGCGCCTTATGCGACTTAGCTTTTTTGCCGGCTTTAGCCTTTTTTGTTTTAGACGGGGGGGACCTCCTGGGTCAGTTCCCCTCCTGCCTCTCTCAGTTCTCTATAAAAGAGAAAATCCGCGGCCCTCCTTTTCTGGGCCCGGGGGAAGAAGCCCATGCACAGCTCACAAACGTCGGGATTATGGCCGACTTTCTCAAGACAACTTAAGAGCACTTGTTGTGCTGGTCAGCTCTAGGAATGCTCTGTCCACAGACAGAACATCCAGAAAACGCCTGAAAGCAAACATGCAAGCATGTAGCTAACAGCGGAGCCAGCAGCATAAATATACACGTACAAAACATTGAAAATTACGTGAATGCGACCACGGGAAAAAATACTTGGTTAAAACGCAATATGACAACCACATGGCACGCTAAACTTCCCGCCATGGCAAAGCAACATGTGCGTAAACCACGGGAAAGCTAGCGAATTAATTTAATACAAAGTCACAATTATGAGAAAACCGACCGCAAAAGTCTTAGCTGTTCCGTTCAAGGACAAATAAAGACCATACATACAGGTGATGGAGTCTCAGACATTATCTTTATTGTAGACAAGGTATTCAGCTAGGAACTCTACACGTCTTTACTGTGGAGTGACAGCAGAAGGAATGATGATACGGGCCTAGGTGCTTACCTGGTTGGCTGCGCATGCATAGCGGGAGGTAACTCCACGGGGTTGGGGCCGTATAATAGATAAAAAAAGATTTTATTTATTGTACAATATTTTTATTAAAACATTGATACAACTGTCACAGGACATTTTCAGCGCAGAAAAAGGCATATATGTACCCCAAGGACGATCTCTATGAAAAAGAATTAAAGATTTCATTAAGCTCTCAGCATATAATTCTTTTCTAAATATCAAAACAATTTTGTATCTTCATTTGAGACATTTAAGTCATTGACTGTATTGCGATTTGTTTCAGGTCGTTAATAAAACAAGCATGTTCCATGTACATATTTGTTGTATTTGTTTAACTTACCTGTTGGTGTCAAAATTCTCGAAGCCGAATATATCCAAGACACCAATGGACTTTCGATAATGGGCAGACTTTTCCATTGGCTTAAAAATGGCACTATTAATCTTATCCACTATCCACACAAACATACGTCCATAGACACCCTTGACAAAGGCATCACGGACATCAAGTGATGATTGGATGCTCATGGTGGAAGTGACGGACTCTCCTTGTGTGAAGATAGTTTTGGTGGTGAGAGCATCTACCAGATCCTGGGCACTCACCTGCAACATGGACACAGGGACACATGGACACAGGGAAGACACTATGCATCTATTTCCTATGTCGGGGGAATACTGTTCTATATCCAGGATGTGATCAAATCATGTAAGCACCATTTGTAAAATATCAGCTGTATCATATGTAAAGTATCATGTGCAAAGTATCAGCTGTATCATGTGTAAAGTATCAGCTGTATATTGTGTAAAGTATCAGATGTATCATGTGTAAAGTACCAGTTATATCATGTCTAAAGTATCCCCTGTATCATGCGTAAAGTATCAGTATAAAGTATCAGCTGTATCATGTGTAAAGTATCAGCGTAAAGTATCAGCTGTATCATGTGTAAAGTATCAGCATAAAGTATCAGCTGTATCATGTGTAAAGTATCAGCATAAAGTATCAGCTGTATCATGTGTAAAGCATCAGCGTAAAGTATCAGCTGTATCATGCGTAAAGTATCAGCTGCATCATGCGTAAAGTATCAGCTGCATCATGTATAAAGTATCAGCTGTGTTAAGTGTAAAGTACCAGCTGTATCATGTGTAAAGTATCAGCTGTATCAAGTGTAAAGTACGAGCTGTAACATGTGTAAAGTACCAGCTGTATCAAGTCTAAAGTATCAGCTGCAACATGTGTAAAGTATCAGATGTATCATGTGTAAAGTATCAGCTGTACCATGTCTAAAGTATTAGCGTAAAGTATCAGCTGTATCATGTATACTTATCAGTGTAAAAGTATCAGTTGTATCATGTGTCAAGTATCAGCTGCAACATGTGTAAAGTATCAGATGTATCATGTGTAAAGTATCAGCTGTACCATGTCTAAAGTATCAGCTGTATCATGTATAAAGTATCAGCTGTATCATGTGTAAAGTACCAGCTGTATCAAGTGTACAGTATCTGCTGTATCATGTGTAAAGTATCAGCATAAAGTATCAGCTGTATCATGTGTAAAGTATCAGCTGTATCAAGTGTAAAGTACCAGCTGTAACATGTGTAAAGTAACAGCTGTATCATGTGTAAAGTATCAGCATAAAGTATCAGCTGTATCACGTGTAAAGTACCAGCTGTATCAAGTGTACAGTATCAGCTGTATCATGTGTAAAGTATCAGCATAAAGTATCAGCTATATCATGTGTAAAGTATCAGCTGTATCAAGTGTAAAGTACCAGCTGTAACATGTGTAAAGTAACAGCTGTATCATGTGTAAAGTATCAGCATAAAGTATCAGCTGTATCATGTGTAAAGTATCAGCTGTATCATGTTTAAACTATCAGCTGTAATATATCTAAAAGGCAGCTGAGATGACATCTGCCTGCTGTGTGCTCAGTGAATCAGAAGTAGAAGCACATATATATGCCTTACCTCCAGCAGTCTAGCAGCTTTGTTGATGAAGGAAATGTCTTGGATTTCTGTGGCATCAATGTTGTCTAGCTCAATAGCTGCAAAAAAACAAGAAAACAATCATTTTCACATAACAAACATATTGAATAAATTCATATACATGTACTTCTCAGAAGTTTCTGCTGGAGTCATAGAAGAAAGACACATTCACTCTCTCAGTGTCAGTGTTTTGTCATGTCATTCCTTCTGATGTACTTCTTGTGTTTATTGTTGATTGCTTTGAGGCAATGACAGCCAAAACACTGACACTGAGAGAGTGAATGTGTCTTTCTTCTATAACCCTGGTCAAAGATCACTAAAGCACTTGTATCCATATAAGCATTATAAGTTTGTGTGTTGGAGAAATGGTGAAGCCTTCAAGCATGAGTGGTGTAACTTGAATTCCAACCAGCAGTGATCCTGACAGCTAAGGGTGACAACTCTGTATGACACTGTCGTCCTTGTGTTTGATAATTGCAGTACTATCAGTACTGCCTAAAGTAGCCAGTGCAGATGAAAATCATGAGTATAGTGGACAGTTCCTGGTAGTGATGACTTACCGTTATATAGCGGACATTGCCTACGTGAAGTAGGGAGGCCAGAATCTTCAGAATGGACCACATCTCAGGCTCTGTGAACATCAGGACCTTCATGGCAGAACGGATTGATGCGTACTCCTTCACATCATCACGACCCTCACAATAAATGGATCCGCCCTGAAAACACAGTACATCCAATAAGTCATGTCCAAACACGGCCACCACTTACCTTTGTTCATGGAGTCAGCTATGTTGCATAGCCATGGTAACACACACATTTCTATCCTCTCCTGTAGTATGAGATGAATCTTATCAATCCAATAAACTGGTGGCAACTCCATAAATAAACTGGTCTTTCTTAAATACCAAACAAGCACTTATCAAAGTGATGAAGCACAACATAATCTATACATTATCAAATTCATTTAAGAATAAAAAGTCCAGAACATATTCAGAGAGCACACTCCTTATGACCAAGTTTTCAGGGTTTTAATTTTATCAGGACTCAGCCTGTATATGATATGAAAACGTGTACTCAATTCATCCTGCTGGATAAGTACTGTCTAATGTGGTGAACACAAGCATGCAAAGATCTCATCCGGAGACACCACAGTGTTGGAACCTCTGCTGGCTTTACCACTGACTTCTCTCTGGAAGTACTAGGGTGAGACCTCTGCTAGCTTTACCACTGACTTTTCTCTGGAGGTACTAGGGTGAGACCTCTGCTAGCTTTACCACTGACTTCTCTCTGGAAGTACTAGGGTGAGACCTCTGCTAGCTTTACCACTGACTTTTCTCTGGAAGTACTAGGGTGAGACCTCTGCTAGCTTTACCACTGACTTTTCTCTGGAAGTACTAGGGTGAGACCTCTGCTAGCTTTACCACTGACTTTTCTCTGGAAGTACTAGGGTGAGACCTCTGCTAGCTTTACCACTGACTTTTCTCTGGAAGTACTAGGGTGAGACCTCTGCTAGCTTTACCACTGACTTTTCTCTGAAGTGCTAGGGTGAGACCTCTGCTAGCTTTACCACTGACTTTTCTCTGGAAGTACTAGGGTGAGACCTCTGCTAGCTTTACCACTGACTTCTCTCTGGAAGTACTAGGGTGAGACCTCTGCTAGCTTTACCACTGACTTCTCTCTGAAGTGCTAGGGTGAGACCTCTGCTAGCTTTACCACTGACTTTTCTCTGGAAGTACTAGGGTGAGACCTCTGCTAGCTTTACCACTGACTTTTCTCTGGAAGTACTAGGGTGAGACCTCTGCTAGCTTTACCACTGACTTCTCTCTGAAGTGCTAGGGTGAGACCTCTGCTAGCTTTATCACTGACTTCTCTCTGAAGTACTAGGGTGAGACCTCTGCTAGCTTTACCACTGACTTCTCTCTGAAGTACTAAGGTGAGACCTGTGCTAGCTTTACCACTGACTTCTCTCTGAAGTGCTAGAGTGAGACCTGTGCTGGCTTTACCATTGACTTCTCTCTGGAAGTACTAGGGTGAGACCTGTGCTGGCTTTACCATTGACTTCTCTCTGGAAGTACTAAGGTGAGATTTGTGCTGGTTTTACCACTGACTTCTCTCTGGAAGTACTAGGGTGAGACCTGTGCTGGCTTTACCATTGACTTCTCTCTGGAAGTACTAAGGTGAGATTTGTGCTGGCTTTAGCACTGACTTCTCTCTGGAAGTGCTTGGGTGAGACCTGTGGTCCTATTTCTCCTGCATTCCTGATAACAGGACACGTATCTGCAGCTTGGGGACTATATACAAATCTGTTTCTAATACAGGGTTGTTAGATTTAATGTCAATCTTTCGTTGAGGTAAAAGCTACATAAATTTACAGAGCAAAAGAAAAGGGAATATCTTAGACAAAAGATGGTTCCTTGTTCATACAAAGAATCACTACTTTTGATGTGACAACAATTACCAGTGTCCTAAGTGTGCCACTGAGCAAGACATTTCCTCTAAATGAAACACATAAACCTGGCCATCTGCACACAAGACAGTTGGAGAACACACGAATAATGTGATCACTAGCTGGAGGGTGACAACGAAGGATGATGCAATGCTCTGCTCCACTACGGTCCCAATGATGGTCCTCGATGTGATATAGAAAGTACTCACACACTGATGTGGCACACAACCCACTCACAATGCTGGGACTAAAACTGTGGCTCTGTCAGGACAAACAGAACTGTTCACAAGCCTCAATTGTCCCTCAGAAAGAAGGTCTAGAGGTTAGGGTTCAGGTGGCCACTGCACAATTGTTTGATGTAGGATTTCTAAGCTAGACTTAGAAAGACCTAGACTAACACAGATTAAAGTAAGCAGCGCTCATTTAATGATGATAATGATGGTTAAGCACAACTAATTGCATGATATAAAGCCAATGGTCTTCAGCCAGAACCTAAGTATGGCAAAATGTATGATAGTTCTGGCAGATGACAACAACAAGCACTACATGATTAACAAACTATGAGGATGACCACACGTGAAACAGAAACAAAACCATGGCAACTATATTTAAAAGCTATCTAGAAAATGAAAGACTGATGCAATGTTTTAGCTGGTAAGCATAGAAAGCACTATATGCTGGGCTTCCCTGAAACACTCTTATCCATACATGAATAACTATGGCAAGCTTGGAATGATGACGGTGCTGTGATGGTGCCCAGCTTTCTACCCTCTCAACAAGTAGTCAGTACACAAGTGTCCCATATGCACATCAGTGTTCAGGCCAAGGCTCATCATAATACTGTCTCTCAGCTTGTCTGATCATTTGCTGTACCACTGCCATTGGGCAGGAACTTGATTTAGAATTAAACAGAATATACATGTTTAGGCCATAATTACTTATTAGACTTTCACCCCTTCTCACCTCACTACCAAAGGTTCAACCTCAAATCAGTTATTGTCCTGGTGCAGGTACTTCCATTGAGTAATCACCCAACCAGTCATGCTTCATGTGAACCACATTTATTGACCATGTACATGAACACTTGCAACACTTTGCTTAGAAAATACATTTGGATGAAAATATAATGATCTATGTGTAGATCTTTGATCATGTTAACATTACTAAGTGTCTCAGGAAACACCATTATAGTGCAGAAAAACACATTCCTAACATGCTACTCTGACATGAAATGTGCTTTGAAGATTTGAGCATGAGTTAAGTGTTTACTACATAATCCATCAGTATGACTTGGCCTGGCCTCTGAACACTGAGAATGCCTGGCAGAAGGTGGGGGAGAGATTTGGGGAAGGGAGGAGGCAGAAGGGAAGGGGGAGAAAAGGGAGGTTAGAAGTTGGATGAGAACTAAGGGAGAAGTGGGTAAGATGTGGTAGGGAGAAGTGGGTAAGATGTGGGTAGATGCAGGTGAGAAGTGAGGTAGAGGTGAGCAAGATGTGGGTAGATACAGGTGAGAACTAACGGAGAAGTGGGCAAGATGTGGGTAGATGCAGGTGAGAAGTGAGGTAGAGGTGAGCAAGATGTGGGTAGATACAGGTGAGAAGTGAGGTAGAGGTGAGCAAGATGTGGGAAGATACAGGTGAGAAGTGAGGCAGAGGTGAGCAGATGTGGGTAGATACAGGTGAGAAGTGAGGTAGAGGGGAGCGAGATGTGGGAAGATACAGGTGAGAAATGAGGTAGAGGGGAGCGAGATGTGGGGAGATGCAGGTGAGAAGTAAGGTAGAGGGGAGCGAGATGTGGGACGATGCAGGTGAGAAGTGAGCTAGAGGGGAGCGAGATGTGGGGAGATGCAGGTGAGAAGTGAGGTAGAGGTGAGCGAGTGTTGGGGAGATGCAGGTGAGAAGTGAGGTAGAGGTGAGTGAGATGTGGGGAGATACAGGTGAGAAGTGAGGTAGAGGTGAGCGAGATGTGGGAGATACAGGTGAGAAGTGAGGTAGAGGTGAGCGAGATGTTGGAAGATACAGGTGAGAAGTGAGGTAGAGGTGAGCGAGATGTGGGAAGATACAGGTGAGAAGTGAGGTAGAGGTGAGCGAGATGTGAGGAGATATAGGTGAGAAGTGAGGTAGAGGTGAGCGAGATGTGGGAAGATACAGGTGATAAGTGAGGTAGAGGTGAGCGAGATGTGGGGAGGTACAGGTGAGAAGTGAGGTGGAGGTGAGCGAGATGTGGGAAGATACAGGTGAGAAGTGAGGTAGAGGTGAGCGAGATGTGGGGAGATGCAGCTGAGAAGTGAGCTAGAGGGGAGCAAGATGTGGGGAGATGCAGGTGAGAAGTGAGGTAGTGGGGAGCGAGATGTGGGGAGATACAGGTGAGAAGTGAGGTAGAGGTGAGCGAGATGTGGGAAGATACAGGTGAGAAGTGAGGTAGAGGTGAGCAAGATGTGGGAAGATACAGGTGAGAAGTGAGGTACAGGTTAGCGAGATGTGGGGAGATACAGGTGAGAAGTGAGGTAGAGGGGAGTGAGATGTTGTGAGAAAGGTGCAGGAGTGGTGCTGGTGTAGAGGGAGAAGGAGCCAGAGAAGTAGAGGGAGAGATGGCAGATATAAGACTCTGACATCCAGACACAGACACCCATACACACACACAGACATAAGCATATAGAAACACATACAGACACACAAGTACATAGTGACGTACAAACACATGTACACATAGGTATACAGACACAGACATTCAGACAAAGCCACAAACACATAGACATATACACCTGCAGATGATGCTATGTCCACAGAAAACACTATTTAAACCTGTGTACTTTAACATGAAGATAGAACATTTATAGAGCTAAGGTCAGTAGCATAACTGTGCCCGTGACTCTCCTACTGGGTTCAGTTGAGAATGTTAGCTGGAATGGTTCACTGTGCAAGTCTAACTACAAGTAATGTTAGTCCTTCAACAAATTATTTAGTCAATCTATTTCTGATATGAGGTGCAGATGAACATCATGGGCTGAAGTTTACAACAGATCACATATTACTTGTGGTAAAGTTGAGTAGCAGTAGTTTTATAAACTATCAATGAAAAGTTCCAGAAAAGAATTCAGAAATAGATCTATGCTCACAATGCAGATCAGATAACATCAAGATGAGCTGTTTCAGAGGATTTTGTGTAAAAACAGAATAGGGCTTGGCAATGGCTCCATGAGAGTTCAAAGAGATCCAAATGTATGATGTACCACAAAAGTAAATAAGAAATGTCATAAAGTATCAAATAAAACAAACGTGAAAAAAACTGTAATTACTCCAGTAATGGAGGTGGCTAAGTGTAAAAGACTAGTGATTCCAAAGAGGTGGTCAGCAGCACAGCTCTGACCACCTCCCATCGTGCTGACCAGTGATGACCTACACCCACCCACAAGCAGATGACAACACCAGAAGGTGGCAACCCCATGCTGCAACAATGCAGCACATACAAACTGGGAGGGATACTATAACCAACAATTAAAAAGCTTAAGATGCATGCTAAAAACAGGGTGAGAAAAAAAGTGAAAATCCTTTCACTACAAAAAATATACCTTTACACGACCTTGGTCATCTCTCTGCAATGCAAGTCATGTAAATGTATGTTACATTGCATTACATGTAAGTATCTAGCAGCTAAATACACTTCCACAGAGCGAGGTTAATACTGAGGTGTGGTTCACCAAGGCTTGTTGCACTTACAAACCCAGTTGTCTCCTACTACATAAAACAAGTGCATAAGAAGCTCTTTTTGGTTTTAATTTAAAAAAAAATTTATTTTAAAAGAATATATTCATATATTTTTGAAGATTTTTCTAGGGTTTCTAGTATTTTTCTTTAAGAATTAGCATTAATCATGGCATAAGCAGAAACAATTCCGAAACAATTGTTTAAATACATTTAAATGAGTTAGTAATAACTCCATAATAAATTACAAGAACAAAATGACATGTCTGACACAGTACTGAGAAAATATAACACTGCAGACCCGTGAAGATCCGGGTTAGAATATTGATCTTCAGTAACCCATGCCTGTCGTAAGAGACGACTAACGGGATCGGGTGGTCAGGCTCGCTGACTTGGTTGACACATGTCATCGGTTCCCAATTGCGCAGATCGTTGCTCATGCTGTTGATCACTGGATTGTCTGGTCCAGACTAAATTATTTACAGAGTGCTGCCGTAGAGCTGGAATATTGCTGAGAGCAGCGTAAGACTAAACTCATTCACTCGCTATAACACTGCATGCACCCTATGAGATGCAAGACTATGTTTAACCTTGGTGCATCTTTAGATAAGTAATGTCATTAGTGGAAGGAGTATGAAGGAGTAGACGCACCTGCACAAGGTAGTAGTAGCTGGTGGCGTCGACCAGCTCCAGCTTGGCTTTGTCCTCATTGCTCATGCCAGCCAGCATGCAGTAGAAGATATGGTAGTTGCGCTCATCATGAGCTTGGTTCACAATACGGGACTTCTCCAGCAAGTACTGCTCTATGCAAGCTCCCTCAATCACGCCTTTATCATTGAAGTGAATGTCTATGTATTTTCCAAATCTACTGGAATTGTCATTTCGGATGGTTTTGGCATTGCCAAATGCTGCAAAAGAAGAGTGCATCTCCATCATTATCTCAGTAAAACTATTTATTTGGTCCATTACTTACACTTATTTCTCTACTTAAACTAAGTTGAAAGACATCTTGTTAGTGAATAAAGAATTTCCTCAAAATGAACTGAATCTTGCTGCACAGAACTAGTAGACAATTACCTTCCATGATGGGGTTGGCCTCTAGAATCTGCTGTTCTATCCAAGAGTGTTGTCCACTGATAGCTGCCAGGAACTGTAGAATAAGTTTGGTGCTCTCTGTCTTTCCTGCACCAGACTCTCCACTGCAACACAACACATGAAGTCAGGGGCAGGAATAAACTACTACAGGAGACAAGGACACCTGCACCAGAACCATAGGGCACATGGACACCTACATCAGTACTACAGGAGACATGGACACCCATATCAGTACTACAGGAGACATGGACTACTGCACCAGAACTATAGGGCACATGGACACCTACATCAGTACTACAGGAGACATGGACACCTGCACCAGAACCATAGGGCACATGGACACCTACATCAGTAGTACAGGAGACATGGACACCTGCATCAGTAGTACAGGAGACATGGACACCTGCACCAGAACCATAGGGCACATGGACACCTACATCAGTAGTACAGGAGACATTGACACCTTCACCAGAACTATAGGGCACATGGACACCTACATCAGTACTATGTACAGGAGACATGGACACCTGCATCAGTACTACTAGAGACATGGACACCTTCATCAGTACTACTAGAGACATGGACACCTTCATCAGTACTACAGGAGACATGGACACCTACATCAGTACTACAGGGGACATGGACACCTACATCAGTACTACAGGGGACATGGACACCTATGTCAGTACTACAGGAGACATGGACACCTACATCAGTACGACAGGAGACATGGACACCTATGTCAGTACTACAGGAGACAAGGACACCTACATCAGTACTACAGGAGACATACACACCTACATCAGCACTACAGGAGACATGGACACCAGCATCAATACTACAGGAGGCATGGACACCTACATCAGTACTACAGGAGACATGGACACCTTCATCAGTACTACAGAAGACAAGGACACCTACATCAGTACTACAGGAGACAAGGACACCTACATCAGTACTACAGGTGACATGGATACCTGCACCAGTACTACAGGAGACATAGACAACTGCATCAGTACTACAGGAGACATGGACGCCTGCATCAGTACTACAGGGGACATGGACACCTGCATCAGTACTACAGGGGACATGGACACCTGCATCAGTACTACAGGGGACATGGACACCTACATCTGTACTACAGGAGACATGGACACCTGCATCAGTACTACAGGGGACATGGACACCTGCATCAGTACTACAGGGGACATGGACACCTGCATCTGTACTACAGGAGACATGGGCACCTGCATCAGTACTACAGGAAACATGGACACCTACATCAGTACGACAGGAGACATGGACACCTGCACCTGTACTATAGGAGACATAGACACCTACATCAGTACTACAGGAGACATAGACACCTTCATCAGTACGACAGGAGACATGGACACCTGCACCTGTACTATATGAGACATGGACACCTGCACCTGTACTACAGGAGACATGGACACCTACATCAGTACTATAGGAGACATGGACACCTGCACCTGTACTATAGGAGACATGGACACCTGCACCTGTACTATAGGAGACATGGACACCTTCATCAGTACTACAGGAGACATGGACACCTGCACCTGTACTACAGGAGACATGGACACCTGCACCTGTACTACAGGAGACATGGACACCTGCACCTGTACTATAGGAGACATGGACACCTTCATCAGTTCGACAGGAGACATGTACACCTGCACCTGTACTATAGGAGACATGGACACTATCTGTACGACAGGAGACATGGACACCTGCACCTGTACTATAGGAGACATGGACACCTTCATCAGTAAGACAGGAGACATGGACACCTGCATCAGTACTACAGGAGACATGGACACCTTCATCAGTACTACAGGAGACATGGACACCTTCATCAGTACTACAGGAGACATGGACACCTTCATCAGTACTACAGGAGACATGGACACCTGCATCAGTACGACAGGAGACATGGACACCTGCACCTGTACTACAGGAGACATGGACACCTTCATCAGTACTACAGGAGACATGGACACCTGCATCAGTACTACAGGAGACATAGACACCTACATCAGTACTACAGGAGACATGGACACCTGCATCAGTACTACAGGAGACATAGACACCTACATCAGTACTACAGGGGACATAGACACCTACATCAGTACGATAGGAGACATGGACACCTGCATCAGTACTACAGGGGACATAGACACCTAAATCAGTACTACAGGGGACATAGACACCTACATCAGTACTACAGGAGACATGGACACCTTCATCAGTACTACAGGAGACATGGACACCTACATCAGTACGACAGGAGACATGGACACCTGCATCAGTACTACAGGAGACATAGACACCTACATCAGTACTACAGGAGACATGGACACCTGCATCAGTACTACAGGAGACATAGACACCTACATCAGTACTACAGGGGACATAAACACCTACATCAGTACTACAGGAGACATGGACACCTTCATCAGTACTACAGGAGACATGGACACCTTCATCAGTACAGCAGGGGACATAGACACCTTCATCAGTACGACAGGAGACATGGACACCTGCACCTGTACTATAGGAGACATGGACACCTGCACCTGTACTACAGGAGACATGGACACCTACATCAGTACTACAGGAGACATGGACACCTGCATCTGTACTACAGGAGACATGACACCTCAGTACTAGGAGACATGGACACCTGCATCAGTACTACAGGAGACATGGACACCTTCATCAGTACTACAGGAGACATAGACACCTACATCAGTACGACAGGAGACATGGACACCTGCATCAGTACTACAGGAGACATAGACACCTACATCAGTACTACAGGGGACATAGACACCTACATCAGTACTACAGGAGACATGGACACCTTCATCAGTACTAGCAGGAGACATGGACACCTGCACCTGTACTATAGGAGACATGGACACCTGCACCTGTACTACAGGAGACATGGACACCTGCACCTGTACTATAGGAGACATGGACACCTGAACCTGTACTATAGGAGACATGGACACCTGCACCTGTACTACAGGAGACATGGACACCTGCACCTGTACTATAGGAGACATGGACACCTGCACCTGTACTATAGGAGACATGGACACCTGCACCTGTACTATAGGAGACATGGACACCTTCATCAGTACTACAGGAGACATGGACACCTGCACCTGTACTATAGGAGACATGGACACCTGCACCTGTACTATAGGAGACATGGACACCTGCATCAGTACTATAGGAGACATGGACACCTGCACCTGTACTATAGGAGACACGACACCAGCATAACTATGACAGGAAACATGCAAAGAAGGAATGATTCCTCCTACTCATCAGCCACAACAATTACCCCATCCCCATCCTGGCCTCACAACAAACTGCCCCTTGTATATCTGTGGGGAAGGTTAGTTACCTGATGATGACACACTGGTCGTGTTGATAGCGTCTCATGTTGTGGTATGAGTTGTCAGCAATAGCGAAGATGTGAGGAGACAGCTCCCCAATCTTGCGGTCTCGGTACATCTGTATCTGTTCACTGGTGTAGATAGGTAGGATCTGGTATGGATTCACCGCCACAAGGATTGACCCTGTGTATGTCTGATACAACAGAATCATTGTAAGAATCATACCACACTGGGTAGTCAACAACAGCAAACAAATTTTAACACTTTAACTATAAATTGTACATATACAACACACATCCCATTTCCACATATACACTTTCTCTTTCCACTACAGAGTATAAACATCCTGGAATGAAGTTTTCAGCCCTCAAGAACAGCTCCACCAAACACATCCCTGCTCCAGATATTGATATAGGTCATATCAGGAAGTTCATGCAGAACCAGTGATCTGCCCATGTTTGAACTGGCATCCTCCTGTCATGGATTTCACAGGTGCAGCAGTGGCCAGGGCTAACAAGAAGACTGTCTTGAGAGTGATGTGCTCGAAGTAATGGTTCTGAAGGAGTTTGTAATCTTCTGAGGTGAGGTGAGTAGGGCTTATTGACAGATCCCATGTGTGTGGATGGAAATGATCAGCACAGTAGAAATCTTCATGTCAGTCACTGTAGCCATAACAGTTTAGATGGTGGCAAGACGGGTGGACAACATGGATCTCTTGAGTTTCCTTGAAACACAGAGGTGCTAAGATAATCAGTGGTAGGAGATGTGAATCTGTGGTAGGAGATGAAATATCCTTCACCGTGCAATATTCTTCAAAATTCTTTCACTTGTGATTGTAAATAGAGCGAGAAGAAGTATGGTCTGCCAAAGCATTGCCTGAACAACCCTCCTTGACTGACCTTAAACAATCAACAACCTCTGTAAATGTGCCAAGCATGTCGATAACACACCTGCAGTGACCAATACAGATGGAGTGAAGGTGGAACAACATGTTGTCTTATAGAGGTAAAGCCAGAGGGTTCAAACAGTGACCACGAAAATTCACTGGCCAGTCAGGCCAGGGACTGTGGCTATTTCGCACAGTTTTCGAATCTGTGAGACTTGACAGATCAACCAACCATCTTTGAGCCAGCCTGATGGAAACATGTTCAGGCCATCCCAAGAGATTGCTGAAGCTTTGTGATCCCAAGACAGCATGTCCAAAATCAGGAATACAAACATGGATAGTTGTGCTTTGAACCTTGTTGAAAATAGATCCACCTAAGGATTGGAGATCAGGAGGCAGATAGAGTGTAATAGTCAGTGACAGGCAGTCTGGATGGGACAGGGTGTTGGTGATGGCATTCTGGGGCTCCTGGTATGTGTCTGGCTCTTACTGTGATGTGAAGAGAATCTTTCAGCTTGAAGAACTGGAGCGCCAGATCCTGGAGCAGAGGCAATCCTGCTGAACCCGTATGGCTGATATACCAAACTGTTTTCAAGTTGTCTCATTTAATCACAAGTTTGGATGATCATAGGTCCTCAGCCCAATGAGATATTGCTCAGAACCCTGCCCGGAACACCAGATCATTCATGTGCAGGGATTGATTCGGCGAACAACCACAGTCCTGCCACTTGCTGATTGAGATGTGCTGCCCAACTACAAAAATATGCATCAATGAACAGATGATGAGTTGGCACAAACGGTGTTAAAGAAATTTCCGTCACAAACTCCTCCAGCCACTACTGAAGATACAATGGAGGGTGATGCGTGTGTGTGGGGGTGGGGTGGGGGGTGGGGGGGTGCAGGCACAGGCGGATCATCAATCTATCAATCTGCAGGTATGAATGCAGAAACACTTCAATTGGACGTAGTTGTAGGTGCCTCCTGAAATAGTACCCAATGGTACAAGACATTTGATCTCATCCATCTGGCTCATTGGGTGAGCTGTTCAGACAGACTGGAAACTTAATTCCTGGATGTTTACACTCCACTGACGAAAAAGGAAGAGAAAGTGCTTCAAATAAGACAAGATAAGGATATCTTCTGATAAAACATCTTCTAAATCAGTCATATTTGTGTTGAATGATAAGGGACAATATCCACGAACAGTGTTCAATGTTACAGAGTGGTCTACTTACATATATACAGTTGTCCATATAGCGAATAAACAAGTTCCTAAGTATGCCGGCCTCATTGAGATCCCCCAGGCCTATCATGTCCTCCATGCCATCTATGGAGGTTGCATGCATGTGACGTATATTTCTCTTGCCATCGATCCAGTGTTCCCGGCCATCATCATCGATGACTTTGATCTTGCCTGACTCGGAAAACTGCACCCGGGCCCCGATGGCCACAGTGAACTCCCCACGAGTCTCGGGCTCCAGCCACACATGATCACCCTGGTAAACAAGCACAACAGTTATAATAATGCTACAAAAATCTACTTATGATACGCACCTACAATAATACTTGTGATGCCTAGGAGTGTCTACAGACTGTTACAACATGGCAAGCAGACTACTGCAGAATGCCACTGGGTACACTTACAGAATACCGGATACATACCAACCATATTGTTAATGTCATGTCTATCTAACTCTAACGCTATCCCTAACCCTAAACCTTACCCTAACCCTAAACCGTGCCCTAACCCTAACCCTAACCCTAAACCTTACCCTAGCCCTAGGAGTTAGGAAGGTATTCGGTATTCTGTAATCTTACCTGCCACTGTTCCCATTCAATGTGCTCTACTGGAAGTATGTCAGAATTAGCAAGATGTCAAAAGTCCATATCAGCAACTAATTTCCTACCAATAACACTGATAGCCAACATCTCACACACTGTCAGTGCAGTCACGACACTGCCAACCATTGTCTAACATACTATCAATGCAGTCACTACGACACTGTCAATCGTTGTCTCACATTGTCAACCGTTGTCTCACACACTATCAATGCAGTCACTACGACACTGTCAATCGTTGTCTCACACACTGTTAACTGTTGTCTCACACACTATCAATGCAGTAACTATGACACTGTCAACCATTGTCTCACACACTATCAATGCAGTCACTATGACACTGTCAATCGTTGTCTCACACACTGTCAACTGTTGTCTCACACACTATCAATGCAGTCACTATGACACTGTCAATCGTTGTCTCACACACTCTTAACTGTTGTCTCACACACTATCAATGCAGTAACTATGACACTGTCAACCGTTGTCTCACACTATCAATGCAGTCACTATGACACTGTCAACCATTGTCTCACACACTATCAATGCAGTCACTATGACACTGTCAACTGTTGTCCCACACAATCAATGCAGTCACTACGACACTGTCAACCATTGTCTCACAGTTAACTGTTGTCTCACACACTAGCAATGCAGTAACTATGACACTGTCAACCGTTGTGTCACACTGTCAACCGTTGTCTCACACAGTCAGTGCAGTCACTATGACACTGTCAACCATTGTCTCATACACTGTCAGTGCAGTCACTACGACACTGTCAACTGTTGTCTCACACAATAAATGCAGTCACTACGACACTGTCAACCGTTGTCTCACACACTGTAAACCATTGTCTCACAGAGTTAACTGTTGTCTCACACACTATCAATGCAGTCACTACGACACTGTCAACCATTGTCTCACACACTGTCAACCATTGTCCTACAGAGTTAACTGTTGTCTCACACTATCAATGCAGTTACTATGACACTGTCAACCATCGTCTCACACTGTCAGTGCAGTCACTACGACACTGCCAACCATTGTCTCACACACTGTCAACCGTTGTCTCACACACTGTCAACCGTTGTCTCACACAGTCAGTGCAGTCACTACGACGCTGCCAACGACGCTGCCAACCGTTGTCTCACACACTGTCAACCATTGTCTCACACACTGTCAACCGTTGCCTCACACACTGTCAGTGCAGTCACTATGACACTGTCAACCATTGTCTGACACACTGTCAGTGCAGTCACTATGACACTGTCAACCATTGTCTCACAGTCAGTGCAGTCACTATGACACTGTCAACCATTGTCTCACACAGTCAGTGCAGTCACTATGACACTGTCAACCATGGTCTCACACACTGTCATTGCAGTCACTATGACACTGTCAACCATTGTCTCACACAGTCAGTGCAGTCACTATGACACTGTCAACCATTGTCTCACACACTGTCAGTGCAGTCACTATGACACTGTCAGTACTTATACACTGAAGGTACTGCCCATCACACTATCACTGTTGCAAGACCAATAGTGATGCCAGAAAATGTCTAGTGAGCTGTACCCAATCCCGTGCAAGATCGGTAGACATGCCAGAAAGGTCGAGTGACCTGTACCTTTTACCTTGCAAGATCTATAGCCACCAAATAGGGCAAGAGACCTGTACCTTATACCTTGCAAAGTCTAAAGAGAAACCAGAAAGGGCAAGAGACCTGTACCTTATACCTTGCAAGATCTACAGAGACCCCGGAAAGAGCAAGTGACCTAAAGCATTAAACTATTTGCACAGCACACATTACGCACACAGATGAAGAAATAACCAGCGTTGGTATTTATGGGAAAGCACAGATAACAGACATCATCACCATGGTAATACCTACTACTTCTTCCGACCAGTAAAAGCTATCATTAAAGACAAACATTCCACTGATCGCTCAGCAAAATCACAGTGATCAAGAGAGCTGATATCATGCACACAGAGTTATAATATCAGATTTCAACGTTGTCTTATTATTGATTATCCCCCACCGAAGGATATGTTTCCCTTACAAACAGATTGTGTTTCAGTGGTGCTGATGTTAGCATTGGGTGTATGGATTAGCCCTGCTTTGTGTAGTGTACAGGTATGTGTCTCCGCCAGGCCTGGAGCACAGTGTTTACTGTTCAGCTCCCATTGTTGACATGCTATCAGTTCCTCCAAACACAGCCACAGTAATCACAGTCACCGCTACTTACACAAATACTCACTGCCTCTGATTGCTGCCTGTCCCCATACAATCATTGTGCTGCCACAGCACCCATCAGAGTCTCATGCTTGTCATACATTACACATCATACACTATAACACTGTCACCTTCATCTTTCAGTGTCACCTTCATCTTTCACACATTATAGACATCATACACTATAACACTGTCACCTTCATCTTTCACACTGTCACCTTCATCTTTCACACTGTCACCTTCATCTTTCACACATCATAGACATCATACACTATAACACTGTCACCTTCATCTTTCACAGTATCACCTTCATCTTTCACACTGTCACCTTCATCTTTCACACACCATAGACATCATACACTATAACACTGTCACCTTCATCTTTCACACTGTCACCTTCATCTTTCACACTGTCACCTTCATCTTTCACACTGTCACCTTCATCTTTCACACATCATAGACATCATACACTACAACACTGTCACCCTCATCTTTCACAGTATCACCTTCATCTTTCACACTGTCACCTTCATCTTTCACACACCATAGACATCATACACTATAACACTGTCACCTTCATCTTTCACAGTGTCACCTTCATCTTTCACACTGTCACCTTCATCTTTCACACTGTCACCTTCATCTTTCAGTGTCACCTTCATCTTTCACACACCATAGACATCATACACTATAACACTGTCACCTTCATCTTTCACAGTGTCACCTTCATCTTTCACACTGTCACCTTCATCTTTCACACTGTCACCTTCATCTTTCAGTGTCACCTTCATCTTTCACAGTGTCACCTTCATCTTTCACACACCATAGACATCATACACTATAACACTGTCACCTTCATCTTTCACAGTGTCACCTTCATCTTTTACACTGTCACCTTCATCTTTCACACTGTCACCTTCATCTTTCAGTGTCACCTTCATCTTTCACACATCATAGACATCATACACTACAACACTGTCACCTTCATCTTTCACAGTATCACCTTCATCTTTCACACTGTCACCTTCATCTTTCACACACCATAGACATCATACACTATAACACTGTCACCTTCATCTTTCACAGTGTCACCTTCATCTTTCACAGTGTCACCTTCATCTTTCACACTGTCACCTTCATCTTTCACACTGTCACCTTCATCTTTCAGTGTCACCTTCATCTTTCACACACCATAGACATCATACACTATAACACTGTCACCTTCATCTTTCACAGTGTCACCTTCATCTTTCACACTGTCACCTTCATCTTTCACACTGTCACCTTCATCTTTCAGTGTCACCTTCATCTTTTCACAGTGTCACCTTCATCTTTTCACACCATAGACATCATACACTATAACACTGTCACCTTCATCTTTTCACAGTGTCACCTTCATCTTTTACTTGTCACCTTCATCTTTCACACACTGTCACCCTTCATCTTCAGTGTCACCTTCATCTTTCACACATCATAGACATCATACATTACAACACTGTTCACCTTCATCTTCACAGTATCACCTTCATCTTTTCACACTGTCACCTTCATCTTTCTTACACACCATAGACATCATACACTATAACACTGTCACCTTCATCTTCTTCACAGTGTCTTTCATCTTTCACACTGTCACCTTTCATCTTTCACACTGTCACCTTTTCATCTTTTCAGTGTCACCTTCATCTTTCAGTGTCACCTTCATCTTTCACACACCCATCATACACCATATAACACTGTCACCTTCATCTTTCACATTATAAGTCACTTTCATCTTTCACAGTGTCACCTTTTCATCTTTCACACTGTCACCTTCATCTTTTCACCTTCATCTTTTCACAGTGTCACCTTCTTTCATCTTTCATTATTATAGACATCATACACTATAACACTGTCACCTTTAATCTTTTCACACTGTCACCTTCATCTTTCACACTGTCACCTTCATCTTTCACACTGTCACCTTTCATCTTTTCACACATCATAGACATCATACACTACAACACTGTCACCCTCATCTTTTCACAGTATCACCTTCATCTTTCACACTGTCACCTTCATCTTTTCACACACCATAGACATCATACACTATAACACTGTGTCACCTTCATCTTTTCACAGTGTCACCTTCTATCTTTTCACACTGTCACCTTTCATCTTTCACACTGTCACCTTCATCTTTTCAGTGTCACCTTCATCTTCACACACCATAGACATCATACACTATAACACTGTCACTTTCATCTTTTCACAGTGTCACCTTTCATCTTTTTCACAGTGTCACCTTCATCTTTCACACTGTCACCTTCATCTTTCAGTGTCACCTTTCATCTTTCACAGTGTCATCTTCATCTTTCACACACCATAGACATCATACACTATAACACTGTCACCTTCATCTTTCACAGTGTCACCTTCATCTTTTACACTGTCACCTTCATCTTTCACACTGTCACCTTCATCTTTCAGCCACCTTCATCTTTCACACATCATAGACATCATACACTACAACACTGTCACCTTCATCTTTCACAGTATCACCTTCATCTTTCACAGTGTCACCTTCATCTTTCACACACCATAGACATCATACACTATAACACTGTCACCTTCATCTTTCACAGTGTCACCTTCATCTTTCACACTGTCACCTTCCATCTTTCACACTGTCACCTTCATCTTTCAGTGTCACCTTCATCTTTCACACATCATAGACATCATACACTATAACACTGTCACCTTCATCTTTCACACTGTCACCTTCATCTTTCACAGTGTCACCTTCATCTTTCACACATCATAGACATC